AGCAAAAGTAGTTAAACAAGGTGAGTGCGCACTAACATGATGAAAATTTAGTACGATGCTTAAAACGTCATTTTCAATCACATCATCGTGTCTCCAATCCTCTTCGGCTCGGGTTCATTTCAACCTAAACCAACACCATACAATAATGCACAACCTCTTGAGCGGCTCTGAAAGCATGTCACTAAAGTAAAATCCGTAAGATTTTTTGGGATGCTGTGATTGATAGCTTTAACTCGGTCTGGCGCATCAAATCAGACTGAGGGGGTGTTTGGTTCAGCTTTGAGCCTCTACAGCCCCTTGGAAGAAATATGAGGTTTTTGGTTCAGCTTTTGGGACTTCATTGGCCAAATGCTAGCGTTTAAAATGCCGAAAGCCCAAAGCTGGTAGGAACCTGCTTTGGGCTTTCGGCACTCTCGGAATGCTACAGAAGCGATTTAATGACTTTTTTCTTCTTTCCAATATTATTCTCACTGATAATTATGTGTTCCACTTTTGCCCTAAAAAATTATCTTCTTCCTGAAGCTGCCTTCGCCGGAGCTGCAATGGGTCGAGCGACCCAGATTTGGCCAACCACGGTCGTGCGACCTCGCATTGCGCATCCTCGACATCGCACATCCTTGGCTCGCCAAGCGATGGTCGTCCTCGGTGACCCCAGGCGCCGCCACCTGGAGTCGCGCGACCCCGCCTAGGGTAACCCCAACCTCAGGCGACGGTTGCTGGCGCCAGATCTGGCTCGCCGGCGGTCGCCCGACCTCGAGCAATGGCCGCCGGTGCCAGATCTGGCTCACCGGCGGCTGTAGCCCTTCGTCGGCTCCGGCGAAGGGTAGGATAACCTTTTTTTTAATAAAAAAAGAAAATTCCCAAAGCCTTTTGTTAAAAAAACTTGTCAAACACTATTTTGGCCAAAGTAGCTTCATAAAAGATTTTTTACCAAACGTCATTTGTATTTTCTCAATGAGTTTTAACCTAAAGGTATTTACATTCCCCCGAAACTCATTTGCAAAGTTAAACCAAATGGGCCCTGAATTCTCAGATCCTGTCATGAGTATGACACGAACGTGATAAGCATTTTATCTGAGAGATATATGCCAAGCTTTATTCCAATTGGAAATCACATGTGTAAAGTTTCAACCATTCAATTAACCCTGCTAACCTTTCAGATTCGAGTGTATCATGAATTCACGATCATGACGTTCTCGCATCAATACAACAAATTTGTCTGTTTTTCCCCCAATAATTTTATCTTGGTCGGAGATCTAAAGTCACGGGGTGCTTCTTCTATAAAGAGTAACCTTGCCTCGCCACACACCGGCATTCCTAGTTCAAACCCACGAATTCACGCAATTAGTAGTCCCCAACTCATTCTTGTGATTCAGTTACTCATAGGCTCATATGTATCATTGTTGACACCCAAAATTACCCCTAGTGGGAGTGGGCCGTTCACAAGTTACAGATGATGTAAAGTACGGCCCACATGGCGAAAATCTGAAAAAGGCCGCAAGTCAGGCCCAGAAACATTGAGAAGACCTAAGGTAATTATCGACAGGACACATCATAGAGGTGTCGACAAGTTTAAAATCACGAGCCTTGCACGTGATATCGATGAGTTCAAGATCACGAGCTTTGCACGTGACGTCGACGAATCCAAGATCACGAGCTTTGCACGTGACGTCGACAAAATTCAAAATCACGAGTTTTGCACGGAATCATATGGTAATACGTGGTGAAAAATTCATTTACACGTGTCAAAAGGTAAAGATATGACCGTGGGCGTGAAGATCAAGGAAGGTAAAGAATAACAAGAAATAAAGAGACACGTGGAAGAAAATTAGCTATTACGTGATGACCAAGGAGCGTAAGCAATGTCGACAAGTCTGGAAACAGTTAAAGCGCGAAACGTAAGGAAGTGGAAAACAATTTTCAAGGAGAAGTGTTCGGTCAACAGTTATCAAGCTGCTCTATAAATACTCAAGGATTTCCAACGTAAAAGGGACCCTTTTTCGCAAACAACACAACATATCTTTTATCTAGCAGTACTTTTAGCACATTAGGAGTAGTTTTAGCTGTAATTTTCAGATTCTGCGTCGTAGATTCAATTCCGGCAAGAGTCTTTATCAGGTTCAACATTGTTGATTAAATTCCAATGTTGTGCCATTAGTTCAGCGTCGTCGATTAAATTCCGGAGTTGAGCTTGGAATATAGCTGTTGATTAGATTCCAGTCATATTCTCCCAAATTACGTCATTGATTAGATTCTGACGTACCTTGAATGGTAATACCGCATATTAGTTGTGTCGTTGATTAGATTCCGACATAGCTTGGTCTCGGTATTTGCAAGTTGTCATTTCATTGTTAGTATTATCGAGTTTGGCATCATATCGAGTCGGGGTGTAAGATCTAAATTGGGATTAATAAACGCATTTGACATTCTCTGTCCAAGCTTGACTCAAGACCCTAGTCTCCCCTAATAAAACCCGAAATGCAGCGTTCGGTGAAAGATTTTCGACGGAATAAAAACCGGCGAAACAATCGTATTGAAATTTATCTTCAGACTTGTAGTAAGTTTGTAAGATAACCTTTGATATGATAGATTCAGATTGCTATTATGATTGTTGTGTGCATCTGTCGTTTCTTTTTTTCTTTTTCCCTCTTCACATCCATGTACGAAAACTGGAATGGAAATTTTTTCACTCTTTGTTTTGAGTCAATTCATTTCCTTTTTGTTATCAAGTAAACTTGGTAATCAGTCAAGTTGTGGCTTGGGGTTTACATCATGGAAATGTTTTGAGCTCTGAGTTTCTCCTCCGAATTGCAGCCAGTTCTATTGGAACTGGCCTCGATCGCTTGTTCTATTAATAAATTTATCCCATTCGAGGCAGATGATGCCTTTTAGGCTAGTGCACAAAACTGTACCAAGATCACTTCAACTCGGAAGGAGCTCGGTGACAAGATTGTGGTCACAAGGATGATTGGCTCAAGTTGCGACAATATCGGGAATGGAGATTCTGTAAGGAAAAAGGAAAATTAGACAAATCAGGGAAGAGTAATGGGTTGAGTCTAAAAATTGCATCAGTGACCTGTAATCTAGCAGTCATCAACTCACTCTTCATGTGCTTTCGGTTCTCGCAGCTTGCTCAGGTTTTTCCGATTTCTATTGTCGAGTTTTGTTACGATCTAAACTTGTTCACTTAGTTTCACGAAGTTTATTGATCAGGTTAGTATCATGTCACTTGTCTCCCTCGAGATTTTCTCAGGTGGTGGCTACATGCCATTCATACTAGATGTCCTATTGGTCTTGATGTGCTGACCATGCCAAGACCGGCGATAGCTGATTCTTGCATCTTTAACAGGTCCTTTTCACTGCATAAGGAAATTTACGCATAATTTGATAGCCATTACCCAAACTAATCATTACACGTAGAATTCGAAAACTAATGATTGATTTGAATGGACGGAAATGTTGTACTCTCGGTGCGCCTAGAATTCTCTCGAGTTACATAACTAATAGTTAAGAAAACATTCTCTTATTTATGGCATTGTTTAAGATTAACTCCGCCCTTTCATCCTAATAGCATTTTCCGCTCGTGCTTATGTGCTGTAATCGCGCCTTGGTCATTCCACTTGTGATTTCCCCGTTCCGTTTTATCTTCTCAGAATGGGCAATAGCAAGAGTAGTTAAACAAGGTGAGTGCGCACTAACGTGATGAAAATTTAGTACGATGCCTAAAACGTCATTTTCAATCACATTATCGTGTCTCCAATCCTCTTCGGCTCGGGTTCAGTTCAACCTAAACCAACACCATACAATAATGCACAATCTCTTGGGCGGCTTTGAAAGCATGTCACCAAAGTAAAATCCGTAACATTTTTTGGGATGCTGTGATTGATAGCTTTAACAAAAGTAAAATCCGTAAGATTTTTTGGGATGCTGTGATTGATAGCTTTAACTCGGTATGGCGCGTCAAATCAGACTGAGGGGGTGTTTGGTTCAGCTTTGAGCCTCTAAAGCCCCTTGGAAGAAATATGAGGTTTTTGGTTCAGCTTTTGGGACTCCATTGGCCAAATGCTAGCATTTAAAATGCCGAAAGCCCAAAGCTGGTAGGGACCTACTTTGGGCTTTCGGCACTCTCGGAATGCTACAGTAGCGATTTAATGATTTTTTTTCTTCCAATATCGTCCTCACTGATAATTATGTGTTCCACTTTTGCCCTAAAAAAATACTGTTTATCTTCTTCCTTAAGCTGTCTTCGCCGGAGCTGCAGTGGGTCGAGCAACCCAGATCTGACCGACCACGGTCGTGCGACCTCGCGTCGCGCATCCTTGGCTCGCCAAGCGATGGCCGTCCTCGGCGACCCCAGGTGCCGCCACCTATGGTCGCGCGACCTCTCCGAGGGTCGCCCGACCTTAGGCGACGGTCGCTGGCGCCAGATCTAGCTCGCCGGTGATCGCCCGACCTCGGGCAATGGCCGCCAGTGCTAGATTTGGCTCACCGGCGGCTGTAGCCCTTCGCCGGCTCCGGCGAAGGGTAGGATAACCTTTTTTTTAATAAAAAAGAAAAATTCCCGAAGCCTTTTGCAAAAAAAAAACTTGCCAAATACTATTTGGGCCAAAGTAGCTTCACAAAAGATTTTTTACCAAACGTCATTTGCATTTTTTCAATTGACTTTAACCTAAAAGTATTTGCATTCTCTCGAAACTCATTTGCAAAGTTGAACCAAATGGGCCCTGAATTCTCAGATCCTATCATGAGTATGACACGAACGTGATGAGCATTTTATCTGAGAGATATATGCCGAGCATTATTCCAATTGGAAATCACATGTGTAAAGTTTCGACTATTCAATTAACCCGGCTAATCTTTCAGATTCGAGTGTATCATGAATTCACGATCATTACGTTCTCGCATTAGTACGCCAAATTTGTCTGTTTTTCCCCCAATAATGTTATCTTGGTCAGAGATCTAAAGTCACGGGGTGCTTCTTCTATAAAAAGTAACCTCGCCTCGCCACACACCGGCATTCCTAGTTCAAACCCACGAATTCACGCTGATAAACCACCCAGAAATGCCAAGCCCACCTCCATCCACACCCTACCTCTCCTTCCTCTTACTTCTCTTCAGCTCATCTCTCATCCGAGCCTCTCATGGAGGCTTGATTGGCATTTACTGGGGCCGAAACGGCCATGAAGAGAACCTCACCAGTACATGTGCCACTCACAAATTCGCCTACGTAAACCTTGCATTCCTCTATAAGTTTGGCGGTGGCCAGACCCCGCAACTCAACATCGAAGGCCACTGCGACCCCACCTCGCGTCGCTGCACTAGCATAAGCAGCGGCATTCAGAGCTGCCAGGACCAGGGCATCAAGGTGATGCTCTCCATTGGCGGCGACAACAATGGGAACTACTCGTTGGAATCTCAAGCCGATGCTAGGAACGTAGCAGACTATCTGTGGAACAATTTCTTGGGTGGCACATCAAGTGCTCGTCCTCTAGGAGATGCAGTCTTGGACGGTATCGACTTCTATATCCAACTTGGGTCTACTCATTATTATGATGATCTTGCTCGTTATTTATCAGACTATAGCGCGCAAGGAAAAAAGGTGTACTTGACGGCAGCTCCTCAGTGCCCTTATCCCGATAATCATTTGGAGGCTGCGCTTGACACGGGGCATTTCGACTACGTCTGGGTACGGTTTTACGATAACCCTTCATGTGAATACAGCTCGGGGGATATTAGCAAGCTCACTAGTTCTTGGAGCGAATGGGTTGCTTCCATAAATGCCGAGAAGATGTTCTTGGGCCTGCTGGCGTCGTCGGATGCAGGAAGTGGGTATGTTCCGCCGGACGTGTTGATTTCTCAGATACTACCTGTCATAAATAAGTCAGAAAACTACGGAGGCGTAATGCTGTGGTCAAAGTACTATGATGAACAGAATGACTACAGTGACGCAATTATCTGTTGTGTATGAGCTGGATCTCCACGAAAAAGAGGGCCCCAGTCTCATCTATAGAATTAAATAAAGCTGTTGGCAAGCGGTATGTCCAACACAAAAAGGCTTGGGCCAATATGTAATGTGGGACCATAAAACTCTGAGAAAAGTTTAGTGTTTATGAACTTTATCTTCCAGGACAATCTCTATTGAACCACTTATCTCTTCCTCAATTTGTTCTCTCTTTCCTGCATATTAGGTTTAAAAGCGGCCTCAACTAGCTCGGTAAAACCCAGCACCTCATTAGCCAGCTTGGGCAATCCTGGAGGCTGATGGAGGCAGCAACCCGCTCCCATTGCCAATGTTTGACAAAATTTCCCAATAAATCTATCTCTAAGTGGCCGAAATTATCCAAATTCCTTGTCATAACCTCATATTTTCCATTGTTAACCAGATCAAGCAACACAGAACAGCTATACTGTAATCTCAATACCAATAACAAAACTACTCACACCACAGATTTACCACCACCATCGTAACAAATACCTGAGTCATTGACAATACTTCCCTCCCTTTTACGAACGGAAGTAAGCACTAATCATGTGAGAGGTTTTTTACATGAATTCACAAGATCCCAAAGACGGGCTCCAATCTAATGTTTCCTTTTGTTACTTGCAAAAACTGTCATCCTGTCCTCTTTTTCTCCTATATCTCTCCAACATGCTTACGACCTGTTCTCTACCTCCATATTTTTATCAAAAAGGCAAGAAGAACTAAACACAGGCATAGTTTGCCTCCTTTCTTTGACCTCTAGTGTCCACCGTTTGCCTATTTTTCTTTGCTTCTCGCTTGTTTTCCACCACTGTGAGGTATGTACGTGGATAAATTTCACTGTCATGTTTTGAGACTCTTCAGAGAGTCCAGTGTACGGAGGAAAGCGTGTTTTCATAGACCAGCAAAAGTGAAACTTTTGTTACCCAACTAACTCATTTGTATAGCACTACCAATGGTAATCGAGGATTATTTTCATTTCCCCCGAAAGTTTCAGGTATTAAATTAGCATATAATATATTGCACTGCAAAGTACAAACAGCAGTTGGGTCCATGTGAGTTTAAGCAGAAAATGACAAAATTAGATTGGACCACAACACTGACTAAACAAAAACAACCATTACAATAGAACTAAACGTTAGTTAATTACCAGAATTAAGAAATACATTTCCTATCCTTCTACAGCTTTATTCACTTCCAGCAATCTCTTTCTTCAACGCTTCAACATCACTGGCCAATTCCTTTCTGCTTGACTGCAAACAAGTAGCAGAAATTGGCATCATGTGGCTCACTTTAGAGGGAATGTCAAGACAGATGATGCAACGCACAGTGCACTCACATGCACTCGTCCCGGATCTCTCTACCACAGACAAGGTAGAGAATAAACCATCAGACTTCAAAAGAACCTAACGATGCTTTCATCCAGGTCTGATTTTAAACGAGTCATTCTCAGAGCATTTCCATTTCTAGCAATACATACTATACCAGATACTTATGCTATGAGTTGGAGCCTGAATATCCTAGTAAATATTGCCTTAACATGTAAAACGAGTTCACTTTCATGCACCAGCAGCTCTAGAGAACCTCCATTATATGTACTTTATCTGCGCTCCACCAACAAGAAAATGTTTTTACATAAACTATATTATCAAGAACACTCTGGATCCTCCGCAAAATCGAGTCTTTTGCCAATACTATCTAGCCAGGAGTAAGTGAAAATGCTCCCAGCAAAGAAATAGAGCATAAATAGCCAACTTTACCTTCAAGAGCAAATATCTGTGGACTGACCATCCTGTGTATCCAAGACCTACCAACTCCATGACCTTTGGCAGCTGTAAGCAAACAATGTCAGAAGAGGTTTCACCACTAGGAGACAATCAAATTTATGGCAATTCCTACAGGCAACTTAAGCTAAAGGATCATCCCAAAATTTCACTACTTAAGGACCTTTTCTTTTGCTCGGGATGCTGCATAGACACCTTAAATAAGTTTTCAATTGCAAGCACAGAAGAAAACCAAACCTGCCAAAGCGACCGAGTTGATAGCCTCAACTACGATGGATGAAAGCCAAACAGCAACTATTGCTCCACCACCATAAAGGAAGACTCTGGATTTGTCTTCAATAGCATCCCACTGTCAAGTTATCATCTAATGTCAACAATTTTTATCAAACAGGGGAAAGTGTCTGGACAACAGGTGCAATATTTTAAGGCCCAAAAACACCATTTTAATTGAAAATATGTCGATGTTGTCATTTGCTCAATGTTAAAGAATCGACTAGGTCAACTTAACCCAACTTAACTCCAATCACCAGACATCATGATCATGGAGTGCTGTAGCGAGCTTACCTCATAAAACGTTAGCAAGAAATAATGCTTATCCCTTTAGATGTATTACAAGCCATTTTTTCCCTTTGTCAGGAACCATCAATATATACCATTTAGATGATATCAGACAACAAAATAACCTCAATGAGCTAAAATCAGAGGAAGAAAATAAATTCACTTGAGAAAACTTTTTAATGTTTCTATTGTGCTGGGTGTGTGAGTTTTCATAATCCAACACTGCAGAGTAATAGCACCCTAACCTTCTGCTTCAAGTCAGAAAACATCTCTCCAACTTCAACAGGACTAGATGGCTCTTCAGAAGAAGCTCTGATCTGGATAGACTTGAATCTGTTGGAATTTTCAATGATAGAGAGACCGTTAATTCAATGTGCCCGAAAAGTAAAACTTTCAGAACTTTGATAAACTCACCATCATGCGAAAAACACAAGTATATGAACAATTTGGAAGAAAAAAAAATTGTGATTACATAAGGTCATCTATGATTTTTCCAATTCAACCAGGTTAACATATGTAGTTCTTCATATTTTTTCTGCTTAAAATAATGCCTAATGGCGCAGGATGGTCAAGGCAGCGAAAACTACTTATCAGTCAATGAAATTCCGAAACACCGAAGACGCCACAGTAGCAGAGGAAGAGCAAGTACTTTGTCTTCAGCAATCAAGGGCTCTCCTTTCACCTTTGATGCAGTCGCTGCATATCTAATTGAGTGCACTGACGGACTGAAGACAGTGATTTTTGCTAGTTACATGGACATGGAAGTCTGCTGATGTAAGGATTAACGAATTTTGCTCAGGTCCCCTCAACATTGTTAATGTCACAAGCAATAACTCCATTCACAAAGCCGCAGCTAGTGCTTCTCTGTCCCTATATGTGAATTAAAACCGAACCGTGGAACCCATATAGCAGAGCATCCCCAGGCAAAAACACTAAGAAGGCAAAATGACATTATTCAACTGGTATTTCCATAGATTCAACTTAAGCATCTGGTCACTCCAAATGTAAATAATCAGGTGTACTCAAAGCGAAAAGAATGTCTTAAACCCGAACTCAAAAGGGACAAAATTAAGTAGCGAGATAACTGCCCCAGCTAGTAATAAATCCAGCTAAATTTCGTCTTTCCATTCCAAAATAAACTAACCAAGATTCGCTTTCCCGGTATCGTTTAATTTGTCTTTTTCTACAAGTCAATATGAACCAAACTTAGTCAAACAGAGCTGATTAATACCGAAATTCTGTCGCCTACTACAACACTTGGCTTCAAAACTGACGAAAACTCAACACAATCCAAACCAAACTCGAACAAGAAACTAAAATGAACAGTAAAAAATGGTACGAGGAACTCTGATGGAGACAAATGGGTTCTTCAGATTCTACGCTTTCTCAGCAACCACAGAGAGCATTACAGGGAACCTTCGAGAACGAGCTCGCCACCGACGTCGGCAGGGGGTTCCAGGTCGACAAGCTGCTCGACTTGATCTTCGCCGCCTACGTCCCCAAGTTCCAGGCGGAGAAGCTGGTCGGCCTCTTCGGCTTCTTCAGGCAGTGCCTGTCGTCGTCCTCGGCGGAGGCGGTGCTCCTGGCTTCCCTGTCTAAGCTGGAGGTCTCCGTCATGCGGTATTACATCGTTCACGCCGTGCCGTGCGGGAGGAGGGACAAGGTTTTGGAGTTCTTCGGGACTAGCGGGAATGATCTGATGCGCAGGGACCAGGATTGGACTCCGTGGTTCGGTAGGTCAAACAATTAATTTTTATTTTTTTGGTAAGAATTTCGTTCGTTGCTGTCGTGAATTTTGCATTTTTCGAGCTTGCTTTTCAGCTATACCGTACGTGAAGAATCCGAGCTTGGATCCGCAGTTTCGGCTCTACTTTTCAAAGGAGTGGTACGAGGCATTGCGTGTTGCAGTGAGGAATTTCTTTGATGAGATCTTCAATGGCACTCATATCCTTGGAATCGCGTGTATATGCATATCGCTGTTTCTTATTTTCAATAGTGCCTCTTGGGCTTTAGCTTTTAGTTCCATCTGCTGTCATTACACGTGAATGTGATGACTTATGTGGGAGCAACTTTTGAAGTATAGATAGATGGTTGGTCCTGATGATTAAGTAGAAGTTATGGAGCTTTCTCTTGCTGCAATTCAGACAGCTGGGGCTTTCGCCAGCCGCATTGCAGCCATCCTCTTGATGTCCTGCCATACTGACTTTTCTCTGTACTAAACCAATCGTTTTCAATTCGAGTGTCGCCATTATTATTGTCGAATAGATGGTTGGCCTGTTGGTAGACGGCGACTGTCTTTTTTCATTTTTCTGATTCCCATCTTGCGAATGGAAAATGCATGAGTACTTACTGTGAGTTTAGCAAGATTTTTCCTTAACTAGACCACGCATTCCGGCTTTATTGACCATCAGTTTGAAGAAGAATACCATCAGCCGTCTCAAAAAAGAAATTAAGCAGCTAAACAGTAAGTTAGCACAACTTCAAGCTCTATTGGAGGAAAAAGAAGCGCAATTATGCCGATCAAGGAGGTAAGTGTCTGTCTGTCTTTTTGTGGTAAACTCTGTCTCTTTTTTTCACCTCAAAAGTTATGGGTCTATTGCCTGCACCATTTTCTGATAATATTTTTATCGCTGTGATTGTGCTTGCAAACAGTCATGCTGCATCAGCAATGGATGCTAGCATAGCTCGTAGTAGTTCTTCAACTCTGCCAAGTGGTGTGCTTGATGAAAATATCGTATCATCACGAGATAATCAAGACACCTATAATCATGCTACTCCCAATCCGGGTAATAGAGTGCTGTCCCAGGACTCGGTTGGTGCTGCAAAAGCCAAAGTCGACTTAGAATCTCTAGCAGCACCATCTGGTCATGTTACAACCTCTCTAAGTTTATGTAGTGATAATGGAGCTGGTGGTTCCAGTCTAATGGTCCAAGATGGTACCATTGGTAAATTTCTATTCTGTATATTTTCTCTGTTTGTCTAAGTGCAGATTAGTGGTGTTGGACAAGTTTGCACAAGTGCACAATCCTGTGAGGTGAAACAAAGATATCGGGACAATATATGGCTGGAAGATGTTCTGGCCTATTAGGATGTGTTGCATTTCGTGCATAGATGACCCCTAAAGTCACGAAAATATCTTCATTCCATTTATCACCACAATATCTGCAATGATTGGAATAGTTGCATTACAAAGTTATACATGGTAAGTAGTTGCTTAATGCATTGATCAGAAACTGGAAGAGAAGCAGAGGGAGAAGAAGAATTCGCTGAGGTGAAAGTAGACTTTCAGGTAATTCTGTCAAGCTGATTGAATGGCATCTTTTGGACTAACACATTACACCTTTCATTGGTTAAAGTGTTCTTTGGTAGTGGCTCTCACTCTGCAACTCCATGAACTATAGGAAACATTTTTGGGCCATACAAGTCCAATCACTCGATGCCGCTTTTCTGCCTCTGGGAACAATATTGCCAGTGCATCCATGGATGGCACAGTCAGGTTCAAAATGTCATTTTGGCTTATATAAGCTTTTCTATTTGGGCCATTGCCAGTTTCAAACTTATTTTCTAGTTTGGATTGATCTTCTTTGTTCAAATGAATGAGCTTTTCTCTTGGGGCATCTATGCCTGGATAGAATAGGTACTGCAAAAAATGGTTTATTGGCATACGTCCTAGTAGCAAGCTTCTTGTTCAAGACTATCTTCTATTTCTTCAACTATTTGGTCGTATCTGATGTTCTTCTTTTACCTCTTTCATGCATTTCTATTCAGAATATGGACCTATGACTCATCAACTTCAGCATCAAGAAATGCAACTATTTACTGTGGGGCAGAGATAATGTCGCTTGACTGGGAGTGTAAATCTGATCGCTTGGTATGATATGCATCTTAGTCCAATAGCTTGGCTCACCAACAAATGTTTCTTTAAGAGATACCTTTCATTAAGACCTTATTTCTTTTTTACTAAAGCTTCTCATAGGAACTGCTGATGGAGGAATTAAGGCATGGAATGTTGACGCAAAAGAGTTGTCTGTGATCTCAATACCGCAGAGGCTTTTCCAAGGTTTTAAAACATGATTTGTGATTTTGTACTTCTTCCATTCTTGCTTCTTGACATTTTTGTTGTTCTGCAGTGTCTTGGATTTGAAATGTAGCCCGGTAGAAACAATTTTTGTTTCTGCTGCGGCATCCAGGTATTAATTTTTCCCTTCTGGTACTTGGGGAGTGTCTTTTTGTTGCGTCTTTAAAATTGATTCCTTCGTTGGCCATGGATTTAATATAAGTTTTGCACTCCATATGAGGATTAGTTTGTGCAGTTTTTCCACCACTTAGTTTTTTTCATTTTCTCTGGAAACTTTTTTTAAGTCTATTTGGTTTAAAATGCTTCCATTCTCATGGATCCGCTCTGTTGCGAATGATTTTAGTTGTATGTAGGTTAGCAACCCTTGTTGGCTCTAGGATAAAACTCTTCAACAAAAGGGAAAATGAGGTTATGCAGTACGTTAATTTGACTACAATTGATGTTGCTATTCTGTGAGTGAACTTTGAGGCTATAGGTGACTTTACTATCCTTTGGATGAAGTGTCACTGGTTTAAATGGAAGATACGAAAGTAATCTTGTTGAGTGCCGAGACATATGAGGTCCTTTATCTTTGGCATGCTAAAAGTCAGCCATCCTCCTTGCGGCCTAATGCAAATGTCCATGTATTTCTCTTAGCAGAACTTAAAGATATGACAAAACCTAAGCTAGTGTATGACAGTGCCTGCTTGTTCATCTGGGGATAGCATATCTGTCTTTAGCATATGAAACTTTTTCTTAGAACTTTTCAGAAATCTATTCCATTTCAGGTTGATGCATTTGCAATGGAGATTATTTTCTTTATAGATGCACTTGATAATGGGTATCTTTTCCTTTGTAGGCATGTTTCTGGTCATATTGATGACTCTGCTTTTGCTTCACTAACTGTATGGAACATGAAGACATGGAAAGCAATGGTATGTGTTTTTCTTGTTCCTGGAACAACCTATGATTGAAGTTGCTAATTTATCCATTGTCCTTTGTGACTGGACAACTGCCTGGTTTTCCTGAAGACAGTCCTTCCTCTTGGTGAAGATCCCCCTGCAATTACTTCTTTGTGCTTTAACCACAATGGGAAGATTCTTGCTGCCTCTGCCACGGATGGAATGATTCACATGTTTGGTATCCTTTTAGTTTCTACAGCAGTGATGACAATGGAATTCGACGCAAGGACACAATGATTTGTCTTTGCATACCAGACAGCCTCATCTTCCCCTCCCCCTCCCCCTCCCCATATCCATCATCTTCGAGGGGGAGAAAAGGGAAGTTCTGAATTTTCATGAGCTTATGTGGACCTTGTTATGTGTTGTAGCTTGGATACATTGAAGAAGACATATTGCTTTGAAATTACCATGAATTCATTTCTGTTGGTTTTGAAGTATCATCATCTTCTGTTTCTCCAATATGTGGCCCGTAGACTAGTAAATGTTAGAAGGGAATGCCTTAACTAGCCATAGACCTGTCTGCCGGTCTACAAATTACTGGGTGGCCTGCACATGATAGTGGTATAAGCTCCATTCTTTTTGGAGCTGATGAGACCAGCATATTTAGTTTGGGTACAGATGGAAAGGCAAGTACATTCTCTAGTTATGATTTGTGGATTCATATCTTGGATGCATTGAACTTGAGTATCCATTAAGTTCATTCCATCCCACATCTATTTATGTTTATTCATGGTATGAAATATCAAATAGTTGATGTTCTTCCCATTTTAGGTCCTTGAGTGGAGCTTGCAGAAACAGGGTCATGTTCTGCGGTAAATCAATTCAAAGACGTACCGGTTGCGGACCACATATTTACCTTAGCAACCATAATATACTTTGATATGTGAGATTTCATGGTTCTTGATGTCACTTGGAATGTCAAATTGGTTTCTCAATTTTATTTATGCATTGGGTGGATGGATTCTTGAATCAATTTCCAATAAGAGTGAGGAATTGTCCTCACTGAATGGGACGATCCTTCAGATATGATCATCATGGTAACTCATGCCATGTATAGTTGTTGCATCCATTAATCTTGCATGAGTGTCATTTATAAAATTTCGGTCGTAATTATGTAGATCATGTTATGCTTGCAGCTCCAGTCACTTAAGACATGAAATGGCTCTAGATGCAAATGGAAGGAGATTGTTAGTAACTTCTGGTTCAGTAAGAGCACCCATATACCAGGTAACCTCTCTCTCTCTCTCTCTCTCTCTCTCTCTCTCTCTCTCCCGCCTACTCTCCCTCTCTCTCTCTCCCCCCTAACACACACAGAGAAATGCTGTAGGAAGGCAATGAATAAGGGCTTTTAAGCTGCGTATTTTCTATACTTCTCATTAATAGTGCTCTGATCATTTGTTTCAATGTATATTTCTTAGAAATGATGTTAGGTCATATCTCATTTTTTTTATTTGGTTTAGACACGTAGTCGGGCAAGTGGTTTGAGAACTCTCCCGCACAGTGCTTCTGTGACAACGGTGGATTGGCTCCCAACCTTACCCATTTTCTTGACTGGATCAGCTGATAATTCCGTGCGGGTGACATCCATATTATGAAGGCAGGTGCTTTACTCTTCCATTTTCGAGGCGTTTGTTCTTGTGATTGATTGTATGCTTTTGGTTGGATGGATGATAGTCAGATTAATTTTGCTCCTTGATTGGTTTAGCAATTAGTAGTCCCCAACTCATTCTTGTGATTCAGTTACAGAGGTTGTCATAGGCTCATATGTATCATATTGAAATTTATCTTCAGACCTGTAATAAGATTGTAAGATAACCCTTGATATGATAGATTCAGATTGCTATTATGATTGTTGTCTGCATCTATCGTTTCTTTTTATCTTTTTCCCTCTTCACACCCGTGTACGAAAATTGGAATGGAAATTTGTTCACTCTTTGTTTTGAGTCAATTCATTTCCTTTTTTTATCAAGTAAACTTGGTAATCAGTCAAGTTGTGGCTTGGGGTTTACATCATGGAAATGTTTTGAGCTCTGAGTTTCTCCTCCGAATTTCAGCCAGTTCTGTTGGAACTGGCCTGGATCGCTTGTTCTATTAATAAATTAATCCCATTCAAGGCAGATGATGCCTTTTAGGCTAGTGCACAAAACTGTACCAAGATCACTTCAACTAAGGAAGGAGCTCAGGTGACAAGATTGTGGTCACAAGGATGATTGGCTCAAGTTGCGACAATATCGGGAATGGAGATTCTGTAAGGAAAAAGGAAAATCAGACAAATCAGGGAAGAGTAATGGGTTGAGTCTAAAAATTGCTTCAGTGACCTGGAATCTAGCAGTCATCAGCTCACTCTTCATGTGCTTTCGGTTCTCGCAGCTTGCTCAGGTTTTTCCGATATCTGTTGCCGAGTTTTGTTAAGATCTAAACTTGCTCACTTAGTTTCACGATGTTTATTGATCAGGTTAGTATCATGTCACTTGTCTCCCTCAAGATTTTCTCAGGTGGTGGCTACATGCCATTCATACTAGATGCCCTGTTGGTCTTGATGTGCTGACCATGCCAAGACCGGCGATAGCTGATTCTTGCACCTTTAACAGGTCCTTTTCACTGCATAAGGAAATTTACGCATAATTTGATAACCATTATCCAAACTAATCATTACACGTAGAATTCGATAACTAATGATTGATTTGAATGGACGGGAATGTTGTACTCTCGGTGGGCCTAGAATTCTCTCGAGTTATGTAACTAATAGTTAAGAAAACATTCTCTTATTTATGGCATTGTTTAAGAGTAACTCCGCCCTTTCATCCTAATAGCATTTCCCGCTCGTGCTTCTGCGTTGAAATCGTGCCTTGGTCATTCCACTTGTGGTTTCCCCCTTCCTTTTTTATCTTCTTAGAACGGGCAATAGCAAAAGTGGTTAAACAATGTGAGTGCGCATTAACGTGATGAAAATTTAGCACGATGCCTGAAACGTCATTTTCAATCTCATCATCGTGTCTCCAATCCTCTTCGGCTCAGGTTCATTTCAACCTTAACCAACACCATACAATAATGTGTAAGCTCGTGGGCGTCTCTGATAGCATGTCATCAAAGCAAAATCCGTAACATTTTTTGGGATGCTGTGATTGATAGCTTGAACTCAGTCTGGCGCGTAAAATTAGACTGAATTCTCGGATCCTATCATGAGTATGACACGAACGTGATCAGCATTTAATCCGAGAGGTATAGGCCGAGCATTATTCCAACTAGAAATCACGTGTGTAAAGTTTCGACCATTCAGTTAACCCCAACTGGAAATCACGTAAAGTTTCGACCATTCAATTAACCCCAACTGGAAATCACGTGTAAATTTTCGACCATTCAGTTAACTCGGATAACCTTTCAGATTCGAGTGTATCGTGAATTCACGATCATGACGTTCTCGTATCAGTACGACAAATTTGTCTGTTTTTCCCCCACTAATGTTATCACGAGAATTTCCACAGCCGACCTATCCAAAGGAAAAAACAAGAGAACACTGTTCTTGGTCAGCGATCTAAAGTCACGGGACGCTTCTTCTATAAAGAGAAACCTCGCCTCGCCACACACCAGCATACCAAGTTCAAACCCACGTATTCACACTGATAAAACCACCCAGAAATGCCAACCCCACCTCCATCCACACGCTACCTCTCCCTCCTCTTACTTGTCTTCGGCTCATCTCTCATCCGAACCTCTCATGGCGGCGGGATTGCCATTTACTGGGGCCAAAACGGCAATGAAGGTACCCTCACCAGTACATGTGCCACCGGCAGATATGCCTATGTGAACCTCGCATTCCTCAATAAGTTTGGCGGCGGCCAGACCCCGCAAATCAACCTTGCAGGCCACTGCGACCCCGCCTCAGGTGGCTGCACTAGCATAAGCGGCGGCATTCAGAGCTGCCAGAATCAGGGCATCAAGGTGATGCTGTCCCTTGGCGGCGGCGTTGGGAGCTACTCGTTGGCATCTCAGGCCGATGCTAGGAACGTAGCAGACTATCTGTGGAACAATTTCTTGGGTGGCACATCAAGCGCTCGTCCTCTAGGAAACGCAGTCTTGGATGGTATCGACTTTGATATCGAACTTGGGTCTACCAAATATTGGGATGATCTTGCCCGTTATTTATCGGACTATAGCAAGCGAGGAAAAAAGGTGTACTTAACGGCAGCTCCTCAGTGCCCTTATCCCGATAGTCATTTGGGGGCTGCGCTTAACACCGGTCTTTTCGACTACGTCTGGGTACAGTTTTACAATAACCCTCCATGTCAATACAGCTCGGGGGATATTAGCAAGCTCACGAGTTCTTGGAGCAAATGGGTTGCTTCCATAAACGCCGGGAAGATGTTCTTGGGCCTGCCGGCATCGTCGGAAGCAGCAGGAAGTGGGTATGTTCCGCCAAACGTGTTGACTTCTCAGATACTACCTGTCATAAAGAAGTCAGCAAAATACGGAGGCGTAATGCTGTGGCAAAAGTACTATGATGATAAGAATGGTTACAGTGCGTCCATTAAGAATAGTGTATGAGCTGGATCTCCACGCATGAGAGGAGTGCAGTCTCATCTCTAGAATTAAATAAAGCTGTTGGCAAGCGGTATGTCCAATACAAAAAGGCTTGGGCCAATATGTAATGTGGGACTATAAAACTCTGAGAAAAGTTTACTGTTTATGAACTTTATCTTCCAGGACAGTCTCTATTGAATCACTTATCTCTTCCTCAATTTGTTCGCAGTTTCCTGCATATTAGGTTTGAAAGTGGCCTCAACTAGCTCGGTAAAAACCAGCACCTCATTAGCCAGCCTGGGCAATCCTGGAGGCTGATGGAGGCAGCAACCCGCTCCCGTAACCAACGTTCGACAAAATTCCTCAATATATCTATCTCTAAAAGTGGCCGAAATAATCCAAATTCCTTGTCATAACCTCATATTTGCCATTGTTAACCAGAACAAGCAACACAAAACAGCTATACTGTAATCTCAATACCAATAACAAAACTACTCACACCGCAGATTTACCACCCACCCTCATAACAAATACCTCAGTCATTGACCATACTTCCCTCCCTTTTACAAACGGAAGTAAGCACTAATCATGTAAGAGGTCATTTACATGGATTCACAAGATCCCAAAGACGGCTCCGATCTAATGTTTCCTTTGGTTACTTGCAAAAACTGTCATCTTGTCCTCTTTTACTTATATATCTCTCCAACATGCTTACGACCTGTTCTCTACCTCCATATTTTTATCAAAAAGTCAAGAAGAACTAAACACAGGCATAGTTTGCCCCCTTTCTTCAACCTCTAATGTCCACCGTTTGCCTATTTTTCTTTGCTTCTCGATTGTTTTCCACCACTGTGAAGTATGTACATGGATAAATTTCACTGTCATGTTTCAAGACTCTTCAGAGAGTCCAGTGTACGGAGGAAAGCGTGTTTTCAAAGACTGGCAAAAGTGAAACTTTTGTTACCCAACTAACTCGTTTGTATAACAATACCAATGGTAATCGAGGATTATTTTCATTTCCCCCCAAAATTTCGGGTATTACATTAGCATAGAGTATATTGCACTACAAAGCACAAACAGAAGTTGGGTCCATGAGAATTTAAGCAGAAAATGACAAAATTAGATTGGACCAAAACACTGACTAAACAAAAACAACCATTACAATAGAACTAAACATTAGTTAATTACCAGAATTAAGAAATACAACTTCCCGTCCTTCTGCAGCTTTATTCACTACCAGCAATCTTTTTCTTCAACGCTTCAATATCACTGGCCAATTCCTTTCTGCTTGACTGCAAACGAGTAGCAGAAATCGGCATCATGTGGCTCACTTGAGAAGGAACGTCAGGACAAGATGATACAACGCACTATGCAGTCACATGCACTTGTCCTGAATCTCTCTACCACAGACACGGTATAGAATAAACCATCAGACTTCAAAAGAACCTAATGATGCTTCCATCCAGGACTAATTTTAAATATGTAATTCTCAGAGCATTTCCATTTCATGCAATACATACTATACCAAACAGTTATGCTATAAGTTGGACCCGAATATCCTAGTAAATATTGCCTTAACATCTAAAACAAGTTCGCTTTCATGCACCAGTACCTCTAGAGAACCTCCATTATACTTTATCTGCTCCACCAACAAGACAATATTTTTACATAAAGTATATTGTCAAGAACACTCTGGATCCACCGCAAAATTGAGTCTTTTGGCAATATTATCTTGCCAGGAGCAAGTGAAAATGCTCCCAGCAGAGAAATGGAGCATAAATAGCCAACTTTACCTTAAAGAGCAAATATCTGTAGACAAACCATCCTGTGTATCCAAGACCTACCAGCTCCATGACCTTTGGCAGCTGTAGGCAAACAATGTCAGGAGAGGTTTCACCACTAGGAGACAATCAAATTTGTGGCAATTCCTACAGGCAACTAAAGCTTAAGGATCATCCCAAAATTTTACTACTTATGGACCTTTTCTTTTGCTCAGGATGTTACATAGACACCTTAAATAAGTTCTCACTTGCAAGAACAGAAGAAAACCAAACCTACCAAAGGGACCGAGTTGATAGCCTCAACTACAATGGATGACAGCCAAAAAGCAACTATTGCTCCACCACCATAAAGGAAGACTCTGGATTTGTCTTCAATAGCATCCCACTGTCAAGTTATCATCTAATGTCAACAATTTTTATCAAACAGGGGAAAGTGTCTGGACAACAGGTGCAATATTTTAAGGCCCAAAAACACCATTTTAATTGAAAATATGTCGATGTTGTCATTTGCTCAATGTTAAAGAGTCAACTAGGTGAAGTTAACCCAACTTAACTTCAATCACTAGACATCATGATCATGGAGTGCTGCAGTGAGCTTACCTCATGAAATGTTAGCAAGAAATAATGCTTATCCCTTTAGATATATTACACGCCATTTTTTCCCTTCGTTAGGAACCATCAATATATACCATTTAGATGATATCAGACAACAAAATAACCTCAATGGGCTAATATCAGTGGAAGAAAATAAGTTCACTTGAGAAAACTTTTTAATGTTTCTATTGTGCTGTGTGTGTGGGTTTTCATAATCCAACACTGCAGAGTAATAGCAACCTAACCTTCTCCTTCAAGTCAGCAAACATCTCTCCAACTTCAACAGGACTAGATGTCTCTTCAGAAGAAGCTCTGATCTGGATAGACTTGAACCTGTTGGAATCTTCAATGAGAGAGAGACTGTTAATTTAATAAGCCAGAAACGTAAAACTTTCAAAACTTTGATAAACTCACCATCATGCGAAAAAACACAAGTATCCTAACAATTTGGAAGAAAAAAAAATTGTGATGACATAAGGTCATCTATGATTTTTCCAATTCGACCAGATTAACTTATGTAGTTCCTCATATTTCTGCTTACAAAAATGCATAACGATGGCGGAGGATGGTCAAGGCAGCGAAAACTACTTATCAGTCAATGAAGTTTCGAAACACCCAACATGCCATAGTAGCAGAGGAAGAGCAAGTACTTTGTCTTCAGCAATCAAGGGCTCTCCTTTCACCTCTGATGCAGTCGGTGCATATCTAATTGAGTGCACTGATGGACTGAAGACAGTGATTTTTGCTAGTTACATGGACATGGAAGTCAGCTGATGTAAGATTTAACGAATTGCTCAGGTCCCCTCAACGTTGCTAATATCACAAGCAATAACTCCATTCACAAAGCCGCAGCTAGTGCTTCTCTGTCCCTATACGTGAATTAAAACTGAACCGCGGAACCCATATAGCAGAACTTCCCGGGCAAAAACACTAAGAAGGCAAAATGACATTATTCATCAGCTATTCCACAGATTCAACTTAACCCTCAAAGATTGACTGGTCACTCAAAATGTAAATAATCAGGTGTACACTCGAAGCTAAAAGAAAGTCTTGAACCCGAACTCAAAAGGGACAAAATTAAGTAGCAAGATAACTGCCCCAACTAGCAACAAATCCAGTTAAGTTTCGTTTTTCCATTTCAAAGCAAACGAACCAAGATTCGCTTTCCCGGTATCATTTAATTTGTCTTTTTCGACAAGTCAATATGAACCAAACTTAGTCAAACAGAGCTGATTAATACCGAAATTCTGTCGCCTACTACAACGCTCGGCTTCAAAACTGACGAAAACTCAGCACAATCCAAACCAAACTCGAACAAGAAGCTAAAATGAACAGCCAAAAAGGGTACGAGGAACTCTGATGGAGACAAATGGGTTCTTCAGATTCTACGCTTTCTCAGCAACCACAGAGAGCATTACAGGGAACCTTTAGAGAATCTGGTCGGTTTCAGGGTGCCGAGAGAGAGAGAGAGGACCACCTGAGACCAGTCTAAGCGACGAGCAAGGCCGACGACGAGGTGACAGGTGGGGCAAGACATGGCGGCGCGACGGCGACGTCAAAGAGGAGCGCCGCGTCGACGCGGTGACCGGCGGTGGCCCCGATCCTCCTGCTGCTGCATAAGCTGCTTCCATGGCGACACCCCTCTCTCTCTCTCTCTCTCTCTCTCTCTCTCTCTCTCTCTCTCTAACTGGGCCTGGCTAGTCAGAAGTCAACCCACGAGAGGAAGTATTGTATGCATCCGAAGTCTCAGCCCACCTCCATCTTACGCCCAAAAAAAAAAACATTTGCTACGTATAATTTGGTCTGTTGCGGAAGTCCTTGGCAGCCCCAAGTGAGACATCATCGTTTTCATTACAGAAATGAGACCAAGAACTTGATGTCGACTGACGGTCTATTGTTGACCATAAATTTACTCTTTCAAATAGGATGACTAGAGGTGACAAATAGATGGATTGTATTGGATTTGGGCGTGTGATAAATGGGTTCGACTCAAATTCACCCATTTAACTTACATTTGAACCTGTTAAATTGGTGAATTGGGTTGGGTTTAGATCGGATCGGATCATAAATTGTCTAAACCCAAATTAACCCATTTAACCCGTTCATGACCCATTTATCGCAAAGCAAATTTCTCAACCCATGTCCGACCCAACCCATACCCAACTCATACCCAACCTAACTCATTGAACTAAATCTAGAAAATTTTATTGCTAAAATATTTTCATGCAATACAAATCTAGTGAACAATTTATATTTTTTTTTTAAATAAAGGCTTCATTTATTTTTCGAAAAATATGACATTTTCTGGAAAATGTTTTCAGGAAAATGACAATGTTTTTCTAATATTTTTTATTTGTATTTTAAAAAAATCATATTTTAATTATTTTCCTTTTCTTTTTTTCTTTTCCTTTTTCCTTTTCTTTTTTTCTTTTTTCTTCTTCCCCGCCGGTGGCTAACCACGGCGATAGCCGAGGCCTCGCCGGCCTCTGGCGAGCTCATCCCTTGCCTGTGGCTGGCCGCCGGCGAGGAAGAAGAAAAAAGAAAAAAAGAAAAGGAAAAATGAAAGGAAAAGAAAATTAATATTAAAAAAATCAGAAAATTTAAAAAAAAAATTAGAAAATGACATGTTTATTATTCATTTAAGCTTATTGGATAACCCATTTAATATCCATTAAGTTAATAGGCATGAAAAGCTGTTGTCGCGTACTGTTCACCACTCACACTCAACTTCAAAAATTCATTTTGGGCAAATCGTAAGTCCAAATTGAGATCCGTAAAATCCCACAGCCACATAACACCTTAAACTATTATTTCCCAACATACTCTATTTTTCGTTAGCCCTTAATGACCCATTTAAGTCTACTATTAAAACTAAAGTCAACTCATTTATGATCCACAATCATTAAATATTGGTTAATATATGGGTTCTTGACACATTTACCACCTCTACTTATATTGTCCTATTTATTTATTAAGCAAATTATATGATCCATACTCAACCCAATCCAGATTCAATCCAAACCCACCCATATAATTCACTCAAAAAATAGAGAATAATTCCAGCATATCTCCAAATAAAATGAACGAAAATTTAAAAAAAAATGCAAAATAAAAGAAATTTAGGTTGCGCTCAACCCAACGGAAACGCCGCCCTTATGGAATCCCTTGGTGGCTGCTACTCCCTCGCCGCTGAGGGCGGATATATGGCCGAAGGCTGGAGCATCAATGAAGTAGCTGCGGTCAAGACAAGCCACTCCTATTGCCCGGAACTAGGCTAGTTTTTGCGGCGGCGAAGTGGGGAGGCTGAGGACTCTACAACCGTCGTTGGTGAAGCTGAATACCACCGATCCCGATCGTTGACATTGACACCAGTGTCGAGGAGGTACTTAAGGCAGTCCATGTCGCCAGCACAAGAGACCTCGAAGATGTCGCCATTGGGGATCCTCCTGACGGTGACAGAGCAACCAAAGTCGAAGTGGTTGAGGTCAATACCATTATGTTGAGGTCAAGCATCCAAGAAGAACTTCTTCCAAAGAGTTCATTTCTTCTTGGGTGGATGTTAATGGTGGTGTTTGAGTATGAGGAGAGAGAAGGAATAGAAGGAGGTGAAGGAGAAGGGAGATTTTGGTCTTTTGGGGTTAAGTTGGGCTATACGAGAAATGGGCCGTAAAATGAAAATGGATTTGAAATGGGTGTATTCCAACCCATTTAGACCAATATATACTTAGACATTTGTTTTTTTGATCCATTTAAACCCATTTCTAACATTTTAGCCAACCCATTTATGACTTGGCCCATAAATGAGTTAAATAATGGATTTTAGATCCATTTTGACATCTCTAAGGATGACTTGTTCATCCAATTTATAGGAAAGTGGCCTTTTTAGAATGTTATTTTTCCAAAATTACGAATAATAACAAAAAAAAAAACCTTTCCAGATCAAAGCCAAAAAAAAAAATCTACTAATAACTATGTTGTGAATGATATAAATGCTTGTAATCTTTCTCTATTTGTGAAGTTCTCCCACTTTGAGGCTCTCTCTGTGGCCTCCTCTTGCCATTTGGGGGTGGTATCCACCTATTTATAGTCGGCCAAAGTCGGTGTATCCCCTAGCATTTTGATTTGTGAATATTTTTTTTTAACAAATTGAAACTCCTCCAACCAACATGGTGATATAATCGACTCCATCACAAATGTTCACACCAGCAGGAAAATGCATGCACGTGAGATATAATCCTCCCATGCATCTTAGATTAGCACGTGCATCTTTCGTGCATATCTAGTGCAATGCACATGCATCTTTCCCTGCCTTCTCTTTCTCTTCGCTCTTTCAATGATTCTCTTAAAAAACTTGCAACATATTTAGCCTTCAGAAAATGTCTCTCTTGATCAATCCACGTTGCAAAACGAGAGTAGCGTTAGTAGTAGGCTGCCATGATTAGTATCTTGTGGTATTCTAGCGATTGGCTGCCATGATTAGTATCCTGGGCTAGTAATAGGCTGGAAGAGAAAGAGAGGGGTGAGGTGTGTTGAGAAGGGAGAGAAAAACGAAAGACATACGGCTTTGGTCAGCTTCTTCGTGACGGTTCGATGCTCAGTGTACTTCACTGGGTTGAAGAAACAGCCGTCCATCTTTTACTGTTGGTTGTTACTCACCGAGTCTCAGATTCTCGAAACTCGCATCTATGGATTCGAAAAACACCAGAAATACGCAACAGAAAGAGAAAAGGTGAAAGCAGAAGAAGATGCAAGAAGGCCAGTGAGTCTTGGACTTGTTGATCGGTGTACTTCAGTAGGTTGAAGACACAATCGTCCATCTTTTTCTCTTGGCTATTACTCATCGAGTCTTAGATTCTCAAAACTCGCATCTATGGATTCAAAAAGCACCCAAAAATATGCAACAAAAAAAAGTAAAGGCGAAAGAAGAAGATGCAGGAGGGCTAGTTATGTTCAAATACATTTGATTGTCCAAATCAAGGTTTTTTTCCTCTTACAAAAATAGAAATTCGCCAAAATGAATTTTTTTTCCTATCAAAATCATATATGCTAATACCACAATAATGACTAAATATATTACTAGACAAATTAGTGCAATGCACGTGCATCTTTAATGTAATGCATAGGCTTATCGGTTGTGGTGCCAATAAATTGGTGTATTTCAAATCGATGGTTTCGAACGAATTTATCAGCTTGTATGGAACATAAAGTTTACTGATGGATATTTTTTTGTTGAAGTCCTTGCATTTTTTTTAGTCATTAGAAAAATGGGGATATTTTTTCTCTGTATAAATTCATTTATTTTATTACTCGAACTTGACTGAATTTTTACGCTATAAATTGGAGAGAAGTCTCGAGAAAAAACAGATAAGTAGATTGCATGTTAAAGGCATTAGACAATGGAATGAAAATGAAGTACATAAAAATGTTACTTCTATTCTTGAACTCAAGTTTTATTATTTCCCTCTAATTACACCACACTATAGCCCACATCGGCTTCATTCTAACCACGACTCTAGTAGTCGCCCTAATGGCACTCTTCGAGCCGGAAGCAAGATGATGTAAGTCTCACATGTGACCTACATAATTCAGTCATTGACATATACGATATATCAATAACTCAACTCGCCCCCTCAAAGAACAGGTCAATTCAAATCCTAATGCTTAAAAGGGTCGAGCAATTACTACGTATAAATCAACAAATATATCTTGTGCGAGTCATTTATGTTCAATAAACATAGAAAATCAATCACAATGTACAAGTTCAGCAGTCATGTTCCCCTAGAACTACAAGATCGTTGGTACCAAAGCTCGGCAATATGATTAGTTGAATCAGCTTTCGAAACAAGTCATTGTACAGAAGATGGTAAGAAGATCGGTCGCGATGTACACGTCTTCAGGGTCACAGCTGCCTGTGCTCTATGTTGACTGTGAATGAGGAATTAGGAAGCTGTTTTAGTCAGGCCAGCCAAGAAATTTTTGCAATGGCTTGTGTCAGTTGTCATCAGAAAATAGAGCCTTCGAAACAGAACCACACAAAGGTAATGAAGGATCCAGCTTATTCTTGCCACTGTTGGCTCGCAGGCAGGAGCGTTTATTGTCAGTCATCGGAGTCTCGAAAACCATGTCGCAGGTTGTCCTGGTTCGATCTTTCTTCTTCGGTAGCTTTCTCCGAGGATCGGACTTGTTCTTCGTTCCCGTGAGCTGCTTTGGAGCCCAGACCCTTTGCAGATCGGGTACCCAACTTGTGAATGATGCGAATCTCCGAGCCCTCTCTCTTCTTTCCTGAGCTTCATTTAATCTGCGGAGATGCTCCTCACGATTCGCTCTGGCATCCTTGCCTTGCCATTGTTCATCTAATTCATTTTCAGCTGAAACCGATTTATCAATCCCGATGTTTTTGTCCATTTTATCTTCATCTGTGTTACCTCTCCCGGATTTACTGCTGTCTTGACTATTGAGTTGCAGATTGGGCAACTCATCTTCCTTGTCATGGAATAACAGCAAATCCATTTTGGAATAGATGCGCTGGACCACCTCCTCTAGATCAGAAAAATATCTGATATCAAAGAAGGGAAACAAGTAAGACTGCTGGATATCTTCTTAGCCAATATGTGAAGTAGAAGCCGTTGATGGTTAAGCTGAAACAATTTTGCTTACATATAGAGAGAAAAACTACATATATATTCCTCACCAAAAAAAAAACTACATATATATATATATATATATATATATATGTGTGTGTGTTGGCTTGAACCTGGCTTCTGATTAACCAATACTTCTACTAAACAGAGTTAACTACCTCAGAAAGAGACCTGATTGCATGAGCATCCCTTCAGAAGTACTACATGAGAATGTGGACACACTTTTATGATTCAAATCTCACAAATCCTTTCTTGGCGTGTGAACAGAAAGACATTATGTCAATGTCGATGCAGTTTTGGCGGAAAGAAGAAGCGGTTTGCAAGTCACAGACATGTTGCCATTCCATGATACTGCTTATCAAGAACAGAAATTTCCTAACAATAAGTGTTACCAATATGATATACCTGCTCTTTATGATCTTTCCCACATAATTATGAAGGCTCCAATCACCAAAAAAGCCGCCCTCCATTTGACATTGGATGCACTCCAGAAACAGGCATATTTGCTTCACAAACCTTAGCTTCACCGACTCCTTAAATGTGGTAGCTATTTGCAAGCGCAGTATTTCCATCCTAAAAAATATCTGCAATTCGTATCTGTTGCTTATTAAGGAAAAGGAAAAGAAGATACTTCAACAAAACCAGCTAGAGCTAATGTAAAAGCTGCAATATCGTGAGCCCAGACGAAAAAGAGAGAAATAAATAAAGGATACTCTCTAATTACACACGCCGAAGCAGTTGAATCTGACTTTGGACAGGATTGATCCCTCATTTTGTTCTTTTCAGTGAAGTCCTTCGGATCCAAAAGTACAAGTTTCATCAACTCAGCAGCAACCCTGCCACAACAAGCATCATCTGCATTCACTGAAGGGGACTGATTCGCTGCAGCCATTTCGGATTCAAAATTCTGGTATATATATAATGTGCAGGATTTCACAAGCCGTTCTGCCAAAGCCCCCAAGTCTACCCCCTCAGATTCAATTCCTTGACGGATCTTACTGGGTACGCTACTGAGGAAATCTTCTGGACTTCCCATATCATTTCCACATGCAACTTCATCTTGTACCCTAGAAACTGCAGTCAAAGAATCCTCTACGCAAGAGGCACATGCAGAGATTGGCTGTTCATTCACTTCTGGAGTGTCTGCTTGTCTGCTCTCCATTTCTACTAGCATGTGAACTTGGTGCTCGGATCCATCTGAGAAAAGGCCAAGCTGGATAGCTCTTTGAACCTGTTTCATCCAACATTTCAAAAATTTTAACTTCTTGGACTTATCAATTTCCCTGGAAAAATATAAATCCTCCAATTTCAATTCTAAACCTTCAGATGCACTTTTGTAGAAGGCAGGCCATGTAAGGTTCTGAAGGAAATGCAAGTTCTCTCTGTTCTTTTTCCTTTTACTATCGCCAAGTTTGATGTCCTTCTTAGTGGACAAAGATCCACACTGAAAGTCATTAGACCCATTTGTGTCTAGCATATCTGGACTGGACCTAAGCATCTTGCTATCCTGCTTACCAGCAAACTGCAATGGATTAACTGCTTCCATGTTCGGGGAAGAAGCAATCTTTGGAAGAAACAATAGAGCAGAAGATACAGTGAACGGTTTAAGGATACCAATACGCGAATCTCCATTCCCATTTTTAAGTGACAATGAAGCCCAAAAACCTTCCCTGCACATAAAGCTCAATAAAATTTGCCATATAGGAGGGTTTCTTCTCACTTGCTCGCCTGACTCTTTTGCTAGTATTTTAAGCACCTTATCTCCCAAAAAGTCACTGCTGCTACCAGAAGTCTGATCTATCCTACGTTTTCCCGAGTATTCACGTACAAGAATTGGTTCAGAAAATTGCCCGCCAAACTGAGCAAACTTATCCTGCTTCTGAACTGTCTTGACATTTATCATTGTGACACCATCAATGAACTGTTCCATATACGTGCTCTTTCCTTCATGAAGCCCAGCTCTCAAACTTTTAGATGCTGGACTTAGCAACATTTCTTTGCCTTCGTACCTATGCACCGTTTTCAACTTAACCAATTCTAGCTCGCAGCATTTGCATTCCAATGGCTTTCCTTTCACATCTAAAATCTCAAGGCCCAAAGTGGCACGAGTCCCGTTAACATGATTTCGAATGTCGAAATATCTCGACAGAATGGCAATTCTGGGATATATCAATCCAAAGGGCACAAGAGCAGAACCCAACACAATTGATCTAGTCGAACAAAACCCCCATCCTATTCTCCTGATTGCATCCCGGAAATCCGCAAACCATTCCGATTCTTCGTCCCCAACCTCTTTCATTTCACATTCCAATTCGCAGTTCACATCAACCCAGCTGAAATGAATATCTTTACTGACAAATGCATCGTTGACGTTCTTAAAAACCCCACGAAATTTATCGCAAAACCATTCGGCATTGCTCGTCGCCTCACCTTCCGTCTCCGCTCCCAAGAATTCACAGCCCGATTTCCTATCTCTACACAAGGGCGAGAGCATAACGACCAAAGTAGATCTAACAGCAAAATCACTACACGGAGCCGTACCCGAACCTTCCTCGTCGGCCACGATGTCCCAGGCGTAGTCGTGCAGGAGCTGGCGCATCGAGGCCGCAACGTTCACCGCCCGCGGCACGGAACTCGACGCCGCCGAGCCCGCGAGACCGCTCGAGAGGGAGCCGAGGGAGCCGGCCAGGGATCGGAGGGTGGCCGCGGGGCCGTCGAAGGACAGGTGGAGAGGGGAATCGGGGATCCTGGAGGAGGACAGGATCGGGGAGAGGGAGGAGAAGAAGAACTTGAAGGAGGAGAGGGAGGAGGAGGAGGAGAGGGGAGGGAGGGAGAGGAGGGTCCCGGCGGCGGCGAGGAGGGAAGAGAGGTAAGGGGACGGCGGCGGCGGCGACGGGGGTTGGGGACGGAGGAGCGGGTCGAGGTCGATGAGGAGGACGACGCGCCTGGTGCGAGAGAGGTCGGCGATCGGATCGGTCGCCATTGAAGGAAGTTCTCTGTGTGTGTGTGGGCAGCACACGGAAGAGAGGAGAGAGAGAGAGAGCGAGAGAGTTTTTTTTTTCTGAATTGAAGGTGGTGTGGAGAGGCGGGAAATGGGAGGAGCGGCGGGCAATTTTTTTGTCTGCCGAGCTCGGTCCCACTCAAAAAGTCAAAGGTTGGTCCAAGGAAAAAGATGAGATAAAATATAAAGGAAAAATACCATAAAAAATCTCAAATTATGTCACTTGTGATAAATTTACCTTTAACTTTTTTTGTGACACAAAAAATTCCAAACTATATCACTTGTGAAAAATTTAGCCTGAACTTTTTTTTGTGACACGAAAAACCCCAAATTATACCACTTGTGACACATTTACCCCACAATACTTTGGTTCATGGACATTTTTCATCGTTTTTTTCTTTTTTTTCCTTTCTTCTCTCTTCCCTCCGCCGGCCATGGCGGAGGGAATTCATCAAGGGTCGCCCTCGCCTGACTCAAGCGAGGACTGCCCTCACCGGATCTGGCGAGGGCGACAGATCCGGCGAGGGCAGCCCCTGCCCGACGCCGGCAAGAGTCGCCTTGCCAGATCCGATGAAGGCAGCCCTCGCCCAACCTCAGCGCCGGCAAGGGCCGCCCTCGTCGGCTTCCCTCCACCATGGCCAGCGAAGGGAAGATTGAAGAAAAGAAAAAAAAAAGGAAAAAAAGAAAAATGCCCATGGGCGAAAGTATTGTGGGGTAAATATGTCACAAGTGGCATAGTTTGAGGTTTTTCGTGTTACAAAAAAAAGTTTAGGGTAAATTTGTCACAAGTGGCATAGTTTTGGATTTTTTGTGGTATTTTCCCAAATATAAAAAAGGATAAATGAGAGAAATGGTCCTTGAATTCTGGTCAAATGTGCAATACGGTCCTTGAACATTTAATTTGTTTAATAAAGTCCTTGAACTTTAGCCTAATATACAATGTGGTCCCAAAAATTTTAATTTGGTCAATGTATCTATAAAATTTTGATACATATTCAATTTAATCCTTATATTTATATGAAAATGTTCAATGTTATTTTTGAACTTGAATGAATAGAAGAACAATGCTAATGATCGCTTTGAACATCATATCAATAACCTCTAGGTCCCTATTTACGGCGGCGCCATTTTTTTGTTCCGGAAATGTGTACCCCAGATAATAAATTCTCATGCCCACCCAAACACATTCAAAGTCGATTAAAAATAAAATGCCCAAACCCTACGAAATAAGTTTGAAAGAGAGGCAATTACATTTTCAACCTGAGGTTTTACTTAGAGATATGTGAATGATATTATTGAAACAATAGCACGCAAGTGGTTATTGAATCAAAAACAAAATATGCCCGTGGTATTTTTCCAAAAATTAAGTATCCTGTATCGATATCATATATTCTCCAAAACAAAATATTTACAAGGACTTCTATTCTCAAATATTTCATGCATAATATTTCATTTTTTACAAGACAAATTAAAATGTATTTTTTTCCTACTTTTAAACGAACTTGTTGGGACTTTTTGCTTTTTGTCGAATGAGAGAGCGTTTGTCTTGATTTTTTGTTCGCTTATGTATATATATTTTATTGTAAGGCTAAGATGTGTATTTTTCATAAGAAAACATCTGAAATTTCTAATGACATATAACCATAAGCATTTACATTCGTCCAAAAAAAATTATTTTTCAATTTTAATTTTTTTTTGATGTGGCACTTGATGGGCTTGGTCAAAGAGAGAGGATGTGAATTACAAATTAGGCCCAAGCCCAGTTTTCCCGGCCCGAGCCCACCCATTTCATTTCGAAAAGTTCTCGCTTCCCACTCAGCGCACGTGAGCTCAGCTCAAATCACGTGACAGCCCACACGAAACAGGAGCGAAAACACTCTCTCGGAAGCATAATAGACGAAGAAGAAGATAACGAGATTTACTGCTTCTCCCGACTCAGTCCGCCACCCAACTCACTCAACTCGCCGTCGTCACCGCCGCTCCACAGCTGAGCTCACGCCGGATCCCGCACGAACTCCGGCGGAACTCGAAGACGATGATCGCGCTCTCAGCTTCGAAGTTCGCTCCAGCTCCCGCCGCCAATCCCTCCACGAGCTCCTCCTCTTCTCCATCTCCGAAACCTCCATCGGCTTCCTTCTCCTCCAACCCGCTCAATTCGTCTCCACCTTCGCGCTTGCGTATCCGCTCCGGGAGGCTCAGGACCCTGACGGGGACCTTCTCGAAACCGTCGCCGGAGGAGGCGGAGCTCTCTGCGCCGGAGGAGGACGAGTGGCTCAAGCGGCTCCCGGACAAGACCAAGCCGCTCTACTCCCACAGCTTGCCTTGCATCGAGGCCTGGTTGAGGAACCTAGGGTTCTTTCAGAGCAGGGAGGACCGTGCCGTTTGGTTGATTGAGCTTCCCGAGTGGCACGGGCAGCTCTCGCTTGACGTCACCGACCTTTATATAAGGTAACATTGGCGCTTCGATTCCACTGTCCTCTTACTCGAAGGAGTTTTCGTGGGATTGAGATTTCTTTCGGTGCATCTTATGCGAGCCACGTGCTTGTTGTTATGTCGTGTTGTGTTGTTCGTCGGACTAGTGATTGAGATTGGCTGAAGTGTTCCAAAAACATATCCGCGGATGAGGTTTTGGCATTGTGGAACGTCTTATCCACATTCGCAGATAGTAGTGCCTACGATTGGGGTTACCTCTCCTACATTCTTAGGAGGTACACAGATGCTTTGCACACTATCAATGTTGCTTTATGGGCAGGTTCTACACAAAGATTGTCCTGCTTTCTATATTGATGCCACTTAGTTATATAGTGTCCGTTGAATGGGGATACGGAGGCAATCGAACAGCCCAAAGTTTTGAGTTGATCCATCAACTTAGTTCTTAGCTATTTTGAGTTCCTAGAATCTGTTTAGCTGGAGAGTACTTGAACAGGCCATTGTCATTCAATTCAGGTTATAGAGAAATTGATTACCTGGATGAGAGGGTGCCTTTTAGCCTAAAGTTTGATCTCACGAAGGTTTGTGCATTCCCAGCTGCCCAATCAGTAAGAAGACAGGATCCTGAACAGAGAACAAGAAGGATTGTCCCGTGAGAAACAAACAAAAAGTGAACAAGAGAAGTAAAAAAGACGTTATTACAACTCATTAGCCACTAGATAAACCAAATTGCCTTAGAAATTGCGAGTTGCTCTTCATTTCTTAAACCGGCATCAAGAGACATTGAGACTGGCCTTCTGTCCTGAGATGGTGATATGTGGCTTGTCACTTGGACAATATTTATTTGCTCAAGGCATTTGGTTGTTTGAACTGCACAGTATTACTTAGCAGGCAGTCCTCTCTTCTCTTCTGAATATTTCGTCCAGAGTAATGGCAGTAGATTTGTAAGAACCGAAAATGGTGTTTGGCTCTCAATAATTTAAATGGGTTGCTTGAAATAACTTCCATGGAAGAATATTAGATCTTGTAAAATGGTTGATCAGTTCTTTTCTAGTCAGGCTCTTCACATTCGTAATTCTCGCTGAGTTCACATGACCTAATTGGATATAGTTCCTCAGTGATATTTCCTCTGTCCTCCGCTAATAGAATGTATGTTTATATCACATCTTAGCATATACATCTGAGGAACATGGCTACTGAATACACCCTCCCTCTTGGGTGTTTCTGGTCATGCTTTCTGGTGCACTCCAGATAAATGAAACTTTAAAAGAGATAGACAACATAGGCAGTGAGAAAGGGAGTGCTTTTCTGATGCATGAAAAAGGAACCTTAACTTTCAATCACTTCTAGACTATTTTTTCCCTTCTTTATCAAGATTAGAGAGAAAAGGAGCTATTTTTTGCTCCGGAATTGAGAAGGTGTCCAATGTAACAAGGGTATCATGTAGCCTGCTGATATCGGATAATCTATTGATCATGCGGTGTGCAGATTACAGGATGTACCATGATAGCATGGCACGTGGTACAAGTGTTACATGATATAATTGGTGATGCATTTTGTTTTGAATACAGTTCTTTCTTTTGGCTTTATTAATATGAAATAGGTTAGAAGCCTTGTGTGTCACTGCATTTAACAGATGATCGATTTTCCTTAAACCTCCACGATGCCCTAGTTTCCTTATAGTCAGAACTTCATATTATATGTGCAGATACCTGAAAAGTGGACCAGGAAACCTTGAGAAAGATGTGGAGAGAAGATTCAGCTATGCATTGAGTAGAGAAGATATTGAAAATGCTATTCTTGGTGGACCTTAAGAGCAAGTGCCATACTTTGTCGAGGTCCCATTGGTTTGGACACAGTGTCCAGCGAAGGAGAAGGAGCACAACGAGCTCGAAGTATCAAAATCTCAGCATCTTCCGGCTTGGGCATGGATGTTCATGCGCCCTGTATTGACAGTCCATGTGTTTTTTGAATGCCCTTCTCACTTTCAATTGTCGAATAATTGGTTCTTTTGCAAGGTGAAGTTGCAATATGAACCAACATGGTGCGGTTGCATCATTTATGAACTTTTTCCTTAAGCTCACATGGTGGAAACCGCTTTACACATCAATTCTGAAGGTGAGAAGATGGCTGTATGCCGGTCGAAAGGAAGACGAGCTTCGCCAGCGCATGTGACGGTAGATCACGCTGGGAGGTCGTTACCGGAACGGCTTAGTCTAAATGACCATCAAATAGCCATGTTGACATCTATTTCTCATCTCCCTCTCTAGCGTTTCTCGTACATGAAAATTTTCGAGCATCAGCAAATCTTAGCTAGATGATAAAAAATGGGCCGCAGTGTATCGACTTGTATAAGTTGCGAGTTAGCCGTGTCTTTTGGGGTGGTCGAAGTTTTCATGTCCTAGGCCCAAGGGAAAATCTTTTTGAGGCCTGATTGACTTGGGCCTCACACCGTACCCAAAAAACAACACAAACCAGAACCGCCCAGCGACTCCAGCCTTTGGACGACGACCGGCCAACAGCTTCAACGGAAGTCCAATTCCAACCTCCCTTCCTTCGCCCTTCGACTTCGACAGTGACGACGACGATCGCTTCTTCACGCGCGTCGTCGGCTCATGAATTCGCATTAACATCCAGATTGCAGTTACCACTTCAGGCTCCGGCCATTCTCAAAACCCTCACGATCCGCCAAGCTCCGTTCCTCTTCGCTCGATTCCGGCAAACCTCCGACCGCTCGATTCGATTCGGAACTCCACGTTCGATCCGTCGGCCCGATCTCCGGTCCCGTTTGCGGCGTCGCCGGAGATCTCCGTCCGACCGAGCGGCGCTGCGATAACGGATATAGGTAGGAGAAGATGCACGGCAAGGGATCGAGCCATCGGCTGTCGGGAATGGTGTCCCGGTCGCGGATTTCGAGCCTGATGCTGTCGATGTTCGCTACGTTCGCTTCGTTATACGTCGCCGGCCGGTTCGTGACGCTGAAACGATTTTTACGTGTGAATGTGAATTTAACGTGCCTCCGGATTTTACTCCTTTTCGGCTCTTTTTCAAATTTGAAGTTGCCGTGTGCCAAATGCGTGCTTCTGAAAATGTGTCCTTCTGTTTTTTGGTGTTAGGCTATGGCAGGATTCGCAGAGCAGGGTTGACTTGATCAAGCAGCTCGATAGGATCACTGGTCAGGTGAGTATTTTGCGAAGCCTCTGCAGTGTTCCTGATTTGAGTGAGGTTTGTTCATCTTGTTCGCTTTCTTTGTCAGGCAGTGTGTGATAGAGATAGATTTACATGTTCCTCTAGGCGCCAATTTAGACTTTTCTCCTGTATATTGGTTAACAGTTTGGGTGGTTTACAAAACTTGTTGACAATTGGGTGCTGCTTAGCTTCAGTTCTTGGTTTTTTTTTTTTTTTTTTGTAACTTTTAAAGATATTATCCATGAGTTCGAGTACAAAACAGCAGATGTTGTCATAACTTGTATATGGATGTGTGTTCCATTTCAAAATGTTGTACATTCCATGCTGAGCCTGGGGTGACCAAAATGACTAAGCTGAGCGGTGTCTTCTTGATGATAGGGGCAATCTGCTATATCGGTGGACGACACATTGAAGATTATCAACTGCAGGTAAAGTATCTGCCTATTGGCATCAGACTCATATCAAGATCATTTAATAATTTTTCTGATCAGTGCTCGTCTTGAGGTCCCTCTAGTTGTTTCTTGAATAATATGAGGATTTCTTCTCAGTGAGTGTTGTGAAACATCTTTTGCTTTCTAGGGAGCAACACAAGAAACTATCAGCCCTGGAGATGGAGTTGGCTGCAGCTAGAAAAGAGGGTTTCAACTCTAAGCACTCGGTGGACGATTCTAAGAAACGACCGCTACTTCTGGTAGGAATTTTTACAAGATTTGGCCACAGGAACAACAGAGATGCAATTCGGAAGGCATGGATGGGAAGTGGTATGGTAGCAATCTTTGCTCTTGTTGGCAGACTCGCTTACTGAAGTAATCCGATCCATAAATTAGTTTCTCCTTTTTTATCCTCATGTACACGTTTAAACTGCCATTTTGAGATAATTAGTCTGTCTGTGCTCTATTCAGCATCTGTGTGACATCTCACTGACAGCATCACTTGCCTATCCCTTTCTGGCATATTGAATGTCTGTATTTTATGCTATGATAAATTGGATTCGTGAGCCACATATTCTAAGAGAGAGGATTAGTTGATCAGTTGTAGAATTATCTTGAGAATTGGAAGCAGGGGTTGGGCTCTAAAGGAGAAAAAATTGTTCTCTGCCATACTTGTCAAGTTTCCTTTGAGCAATAATACAACCAATATAAAATAGTTTAGGGAAGGCTTGGTTGAATGATATCGAAAGTTGGCTAAAAATTCCCTGCAGTGGAAAAGGAGTTCAGAACGTAGATAATTATTTGCTGGGGGAGCTGGTGTGCAAAGTAGCAACATTGACCTCTTTTTGCTCTCGGCAGGAGTTTTTTCCAACTTACTCTCCAACCCCCACCTTATTCATGACCCCTAGGCCTATTGCTTAGGGTCTAATAGTACCAAGGACGTACTGTAAAGGCCAAAGTTTGCTTATTGATGCCTTGATCAATCTGATTTATCATGCACATGCCATGCTTTTAATTTTTTGTTCCTTAATTTTGAAAGCTTAAACCTTCTATTTCAAATTGTAAAGGGAATACTTTCTCTTCACAGGCACAGCTCTAAAAAGGTTGGAGGATGAGAGAGGCATCATTGTTCGTTTTTTTAATTGGAACAAGGTATGAGGTTTTCATGTTTACCAGCTATTTCGTTCTTCCTCTTGGATGGTTGATCGAAGTCTTTGTATGATTTACTTTGCAGTGCAAATAAGGGAGACAGCTTGGATGGGGCAATCGACAGTGAAAACAGGCAGACTAATGACTTCATCATTCTTGTTCATGTCTTGGCAATAATTTATAGTTGCATATCGATGATATTTCTGAATTGAGCTATGACTGATGTTTGTTTTTTTCTTATGCAGCTAAATAATCGCCATATCTATCACAATTTGATTGAGAAAATCTTCTGCAGGTTATTGAAATCTGCAAGAAAATCTAGAGGCAGAAAATTCTTGTGTTTGCCATGTCATCATGTGCTTATGAGTAGGATAGGAGCTGAAGAAATGCATCTTATTAAATCATAGAAAATTAGTATTCGATGAGAAAGGAGCCAAAACCTGATTAGAACAATGTTTTCAGTATATGAAGTTGAGAATGTTTAAGTTGAGCATAGCTTTGTGCAAGTTGTTTTGATCATAGTTATGCAGAAAATCTTTTTCTTCTATATCTTATTTGACACCATCCTCTACATAGCTTGCATCACTTTTGCTTTCAAATCAAACTCCAGTTTGTCAGTAATTTGCTGATTGTGGACACAATCGTTTCATGATTTCCATGAATGCATTGTGTGATTTTTCCATGTTACTGTTCCTTGATTTTGCTGTGGGCCTCTTGGATAAATCGTGATTTGATGATGTAATTCCAAGACTGTTGATTTGTCTGTGTGACAGGATAATCATGTTGAGGCACCTGAGGAGGCTTCAAAGGAGACAAAACTGTTCTTTGCTCATGCTGCTGAAACATGGGACGCTGAGTTCTATGCTAAAGTGAAGGACGATGTCCATGTAAATATCGGTTAGTTCAATTTTCATGTAGATAGAGTTTAGAATGTGATATACGTGGCATAGACTTGGATCACAACCCTTGTCCCTTAGGTTTCTGGTAAAATAATGTTAAAATTTGCTGATTTGTCATCTCTAATTGAACTGTAATTTGTGTATCAGATATTTGCCCTCTGCTACTACAATTCATGTTAAGATTACTTCCGTTTATTGTGCTTCTCTCAACAGATGCCTTGTTGACTGCACTTATGGCTCACTTGGACAAGCCTCGTGTTTATATAGGGTGCATGAAGTCAGGCGAAGTATTCTCCGAGCAGTGAGCACAGCATCCTGGATACATGTATTGTTAACTTACCTTTTGCATTTGTTAACTTACTTTGGCTGAGTATTTGCAGGGATCATCAATGGTATGAATCAGACTGGTGGAAATTTGGTGATAAAAAATCGTAAGTCCTATATGGCTGATTTCCTTTTTCTCTCACAACTTTAGATCCGGAGGATTACTCATTGACATTTCCATTTGCTAAGGAGTATTCAAAACCAACGGTCATTGATCCATCAGAAAGTATAAACATTCCATACCAGACATAGAACTTGACAATTGTGTTGGTCCCTCTTGGTCATGCTCATACTAGGTCTAGGTGGCATATTACTCCACGGTGACTTCTCTGCAAGATGTTTGCTGCTCCTCTGCTCCTAGGAATTTATTACAATTATCATGGTGCAGCAAATTACTTAATTGTCCATGACTGAACCAACAATGAATTTGTGAGGGAAATTCTGGTGATGTCACAAGAGCCTGCAATACGCTTGCTGCACTTAACATGAAGATATCTTAGTTTGATTAGTCGTCATTTCTTCTCGACTGATTGAACCATGTCTGTGCATGTACATGCACATAATTAAACGTGTATATGAATATTAAGTTTTCAGAATACGAAGTCCAGAGGAGGTGGAGACTTGAGGGATAAGTCTTTGCTGCAGCCTGCAGTAGCATTAACTCATTAAGAATTCATCAAATGAGAATTCGATGAAGAACGTGACACATAATTGGGGTCTGCCCTGGACTCGGCATTAGGATTTCACTTGAAAAAATTGAGCATTAAAATGGTTACAACTTAAAGGTTTTCTTATTTAGGGATTCCCACGTGTTTGCCTTTGTATTTTATACTTAGTATTTCATATTCCTTATGTGTGAGAAGTTTCGTCTCTTGACCATGCAGATACTTTTGCCATGCTTCAGGGTAGACATGGCCACGGTTCAGGAACCGCCGGTTCCGAACCGGAACCGGCGGGTCCGGTTCGTGGCCATGTATGAACCGAAACCGGCGGTTCCGAGCCGGTTCCAGTTCGTAATTTAAAAATTAATACAATAAATTATAAAATAAAAATTGCAGGCCTGGTCCTCCGTCGGTCGTCGCTCGGGCTTCGCGGCCTTGGCCATGGTGGCGGAGGCAGGGTTCAACGCGGCGAGGAGATGAAGCGGGAGACGGGGGCGGCGGCGAGGGGGAGAATGAGGGGGCCGGGAGGGGGAGGGGGACGGGGACGGGGAGGAGCGGGGGGTCCTCCTCCTCCGGGGGCTGGGCGGGGTCGGGAGGAGGGGAGGAGGAGGGGGCGTCGGCGTCGGCAGCTGCGGCCATGGGCGGCGGCGGCGGCAGGGGTCAGATCTAGGGAGACAGGGGGTGGGCGGAGGAGAAAAGGGGAGGAGGTGCAGGGTAGCGAAGGGGGAGGAGAAGGGGGCGTCGGTGTCGGCGGCTGCGGCTGCGGCCATGGGCGGGGGCGACGGCGGCGACGGCGGCGGGGTCGATCTGGGAAGACGGGGCGGGCGGAGGAGAAAAGGGCGGGATTGGAGGAGGCGCAGAGAGAGGGGGAAAGGAGGGATTTGGAGGAGGAGGACCGTGGCTGGAGGAGGTGGGTGGGCGTTGGTGGGGGTGGGAACGTGGGGGTGGGGATGGAGCAGTTTTTTTTTTGGAACCGGGCCCAGAACCGCCGGTTCCGGGCTGGTTCCAAAATTATTGGAACCGGAACCGGGCCCGTAGGCCACGGGCCGGTTCCGGTTCCGAACCGTGGGCCCGGTCAACGGGCCGTTCCCGGGTTTGACCCGGGCCGGTTCCGGGCCAAAACCGGCCCGTGGCCATGACTACTTCAGGGGAGTTGTTTGTCAGTACTTCTATCATGCAGATCCGTTCTTCTTACATATGCACATGACGATGTGAGCGGTTGGGTTCTGGTTTATCGGGCTTAATGTTGTGCATATTGATGAAGCAAAGTTTTGCTGCTCATCTTGGTCAACAGGTCGGTCTCTCTCTTGGTCTCTCTCTCTCTCCTGGAATCATGTTATGGGGGCAGGGCACGAGAGATGCTGTTTATCACTGCACGAATTGATTATTTTTTCCCTGTTTCAGGAGCAATCAGTGCAGGTGCTTGATGCGTCATTGCTTATGATACCGGGGTTATACTTCGCACGAGGCCCATTGATTCTTTCAAGAGTTCTTTGAATATAGAAATCTGCGACCCTTTTAGGTTGATTGGTGGAGAGGTGATGTATGGAACTGGAGATTTGGCAGCCCTTCTTTTGGACTTCGGCATGTTAGCTCGTAGCTGAAGAAGGCTTCAAAGATGAATACTTTTAAGTTTTAAGGGCTAAATAGGTCCCATGCTGGATGCAGAACAACTTTCTTTGAGTTGAGCGTCTAACAAATGGGTCATTATTCTTTCATTTATAGTGGGGGAGGAGATTCAGCCCCATTTGATAGTGTCGACTTGCTACCGAGAGATTGTACTATGATTGGCGGCTTATTCTCTTGATTAAAGTGAGTTCGTGATACTTCTGTCTCTTGGACAACCTGTTCGATGCATACTCACTTCTGTCGTGCTGATTACTGACTGATATATCCAGACTTCCTGCAGCATCTGTTCATTGCTCAACAACCTATTCTATGCATTCTTGACGAGTCCCCTCTTCATATTGGACCGTGGAGGCATTCATACTATTTACCATCTTGTCGAATGAATTTTGTAGAGTGTTGTTCTGGTTGATAACATTTGCTATTTTTCCTTTAAACGAGACAACGGTAAATATACTTCCTCCACCCAAATGCAAGATCAGAGTAGAGAGACCTCTGCGCAGCACTCGTAAAGCACTTACTATAGAAACCGAGAAAGTAGTCCGAAATACAGAAAACAGTCAGACACTGGGTAGATCTCGAGAAGAGCTTTATTTCACTCGTGTCCACTGGACTATTACAATTTCACTCGTGTCCACTGGACTATTACAATAAGACCCATATGATATGCTGGACTGTCATATACGGCAGAGCAGAAATGATTGGCATATGAAGAAACAGAACGCATATGGCAAAAGACGATAATGGACTATCACTCATTCTAATATGAGTGCAATCCTGAGCGCAATGTATCCCAAAATGCTTAGATCCACAACAGTGTACCTCTCTAAAATGCGTCCTCTCAATCTAAGCTGGGACGCAAGCCATTAGACATTGTTTTGACCCTGTCCCAGCCACTAGACATCTTTTTACCATTAGCTCCTTCTTCACATGATGTATATTAATGTCAACCTGTAATTTGACAAACTTCATCATGACTAGAAGACTATTCAATAAGAAGATGCAGCATAATGACTGGAAAGGAAAGATCACTTCCCCAATATACGCTCTGGAATATCATCAGGTAGAGCATCAAGATGAACCATTGAGGAAATGAGCCAATGCTTTTTCAGTGTCGTTATCATATGTGACCAAGGGTTCCGCAACACTGCTAGACGAAAACCTGATTCCCGTGAAAGAGTGTACCCATTTACGAATTACCGAACCTGGATAGCAGAACATGAAGCAATTTATAAGAGTCAACTTACATGCTGGATGCACCCGTCACATGCTTGTAAGAGGAGGGACATCTATGCTGTGGCGGGCTTAATTACGTGATTGCACCCGTGAATTATTTGGACCCTAAGATTCTAATGGAAGAATGTGCCTATTTAATGCCACGGTACCAAAAGATCTAAACCAATATGAAGGAAAGTTGATTAGCCTTCTAGAAAGATGGGAAAAGGCTATGTTTCTCAACGCTGAACACGTCTATCTAAGAGGTTGAACTCATTACAAGATGACATCACTAGAACCAAAACATCAGATATCCAATATATGGAAGAAAACCGATTACCAGATAGATCGAGTTTTTTCAATATTCCCACATAATCATAGAAGTCTATTGATTTTTCTTCAACTATTTAGCATTTTCCTTGACAAAAACCTGACCGTCCATGAACTTAGGTAATGAGAATGACCGACTTCTTTCAGGCCTAACCTGAAACACACCTCCATCTTGACTACTGATAGCAGTAAGATAAAACAGCTGTGGGAAACATCCATGACATAGCAACATCATATAGCTAAACAGCGGAAAAGGAGTGCATACTGATTGAGTAGGCTCGGTGGTTCGTGACGGAAGATTTTCCATGGCAAGCCTGCTCGAGTTCAGGCTTTCTTGCTCTGCCTCAGCTAAAATTCCTCTCTCAAAGTCAAAGTCAAACTGGAAGTTGCTTCGACTTATCTCTCCAACTTGTGGAGAAAGATGGGGCTATAAGGAGAATCGGAAACATTCGGATACGTAAGAATGAGATGACAAAATGCCTAAAACCAATTAATGTATGTTACAGAACTACAAACCAAACAAGAATACAACTAGCACGGAAGCAGGACAGACTGCAGAAGGATATGAAGAGATAGCAGGTCTCAAACCCCGCATACTTTACTATTCAGCTGAACAAATCCATTTTACAAGGTCGGATTAGTAAGGACGGGGCCAAGAAATTACTGAGAAGCAAAAAGACTAGAACAACATTTGCATACAAGATGTTCTTCAAGAGACATTAAGCTCTAGGAAAATGTCTTGCACAACAGACTAGAACAGTACTCATGTCGTCGCACTCTTCATAGATGAGACTAAACTCCATGGTTATATGTAAAACGTGAGCAAGACTTTGCATTTCTTGGGGTGACACTATGTGTGAGAGATGTTTATTTCGAAGGAGAAACCGATGCCCAAAAAGATAGGAGCAGAGATTATCCCCAGACTATGGACCTTAAATACACACTTGTCAGTCTTTTCGTTAGAATCTAAAAGGAACAAAAGATTGCCACACGGGCAACCTATGTGCATGGCATTAATCAGTCGAAACTCTTCCCAGTTTATAAATGATGATGTTGCCACGACCAATTTTAACAGGTGAAAGCACGTTCTCCAGTATAAAGGGGAAATAGTAGTGAAGGCGGAAGAGGCGACAATATCTACTTCTCAATTGAGAACAAGCCCATAAACCCATCTAAAGATCATCAAACTGCCGGTCATCACTTAGTTCTTCATTTGCATGCATCGGCAAGTACAGACCATCAGATACCACATCATTGAGAGCATCACTTCCCGGTTCAGTTCGATGGTCGCGCATTGACAAGGAATTAAACAGCCAAACCAAGCCTATCATACAGCTTCCGCATAATGCTGTGCACAAAGGATATCCACAGAAATTTTTGGACAGCAATAGTAAGTGTAAATCAACCTCGCACGATCAATAGAAAGTGGCCCCATGGATCTCTAGCGTCGACCAGGGGCACATCACAACAACAACAACAACAACAACATAAACCATAACATGTTAGAAAAATATAATAAACAAAAACTCACCGGAGGAGGTATCCTGTACTCTGGCTTTATGGCAACCCTGACGCCCAATCCTGCCGCTAAACAGCGGATACTGCGCACTGTTCCTGAAATCGTAGTCCATCTGAAGAAGAAGAAGAAGAAGAGACGAAGAGAAACGGTCCGCCGAGATCGTTGGGAAGGAAGGAGACGACGAGCTGAAAATTCTGTGATGGCATACAAAGAAACAAAATAATGAAAAAAAGGAAAAAAGAAAAAGGAAAGAGAAACACGAACAATAAAAATTAGAAATTAAAAAAAATATGGCAAAGAAAAAATGGACGATTAGGGAAGCCACTTCTGAATAATATGAGAGCCAAGTTTCGATCTTGGGACCGAGGGGGTGTCGATGGTTCGGTTCAGTTTGGATTTTTAGGAAAACCGAACCGAACCGAATCATTTAAACGTGTACTTGCTCCGAATCAAAAGGCGACACGAACCAATTTGATCCGAACCGAAAAATGCAGCTCGGTTCGGATCAGTTCGGTTCGGTTTTCCTCTTTTTCAATTTTTCTGCGCTTCCGCTTCCTCTGTAATGATCTGTCCAATGTTCAATTTCCCTCTCTCTCTCTCTCTGGGTAGATTTATTCACTAGTTGAGCAGCGAAATTTGCAGCTTTTGAGCTGAATCTCGTCCGATTTATCGAGTCAGAGAGAGGAGAGTTGCCAGAGTGAGCAACGCGCTCGAGCCAGCCATGGGAGAAGAGCGAGAGAGAGAGAGAGAAGAGTCAGAGAGAGGAGAGTTGCGAAGATAGAGGAAGAGAGAGAGAAAAGCGAGTGAGAAGAGAGAGAATAAATCAGAAAAGGGAAAGAGAGAAAAAAGCGGGTGATGGAAGAGAGTGTACGAGAACGGACGAAAAAGGAAAAGGAAACCGAATCCGATCCGATCCGATTCTAACCGAAACTGAATCATCAACAAATCAATTTTTTTCATTTATAATCCGAACCGAAACCGAATCGAAACCGAAAATTTATATTTTCGATTTCGATTTCGGTTCGATTTTCGATTCGATTTTTGACAACCCTATTAGGACCTGTGGGTTACGAGCCCACCACGTTTCCAATCTGCTGCGCCACTCTGATTTTGTTATTGGTTCATGTGCCAAAATTATATATATCATTAGATAAGAGAAATAGACATTGCTATCACTTAGGCTGTGTTCGTTTGCGGAAAAATATTTTTCCGCAAAACATTTTTCGCGTTTTCCGATGTTCGGGGGCGGAAAATATTTTCCGTGGGAAAACATTTTCCTTCCCCACCCCCAAATCCTTCATTGTTTTGAGGAAAATGATTTCCTCTTTTCACAAAGAGGAAATCATTTTCCCCCAAAGTGAAGGTAAAATTGCCCATGGAAGGGAAAATGTTTTCCGTGGGAGAGGAAGTTGATCGCCGGTCACCGCCGTTGGCCGCCCACCGCCGGCCGCGGTGCGCCGGCCGCCGCCGCCCGGTCGCCGCCGCCGCCGCCGGGCCGCCGTGGCAGGCCGCAGCTACCGGCGTGGCGAAAAATATTTTTCGAAAATTTTTCATATAGGTCGCCGAACAACGGAAAATTATGTTCCAGGAAAACATTTTCCAGGAAAATGACTTCCGGGAAAATATTTTCTAAAAGAAGAATATTTTTCGCTAAACGAACGGAGCCTTAGTTTAACATGATAGACATATGTCAGATCAAGTGATGACTCAGTCATAAGGTGTAGGGTGACATATTGTGGTGCGTACATCTATCCTCTTATTTATTTCGGGTACCATATGAAATTGTTAGAAAAAGATGATGGAATGGCGTCGTGAAAGAAATTATAATGCCAATGGTCTATGAAAAGAAGAAAAGAGAAGAACAAAGGGCTTATGGGATCTAGGAAGTCGGGTTTCGCGGTGCCATTTCGCACAACTTCCAGACTTGGTGTTGAGTGCTTACGTAAATGACGGGATATCGACGATATTGATAGAGAAGTTTGTCGATAATCATGAATATCGATGGCCATGTGACCAAGATATATCCCTTAGCTAAACCCCCTTAATTCACCTTAATTCCTCCGACATCTTCCCCGTCACCCCCTTCCTTATGTTAAGTAATCGTCGAAAAGTACAAGATACGACAAAGTGGAATACATGTAAGAAAGGCGTACCCCTAGATCACCCAATCACACCTCGATTCCAAGGTGTACGACGCAACCAGAAGCCGCGGGACCAACCCAAAAAAGCGCCACACGCTTATCCTCTCATTAATGTTGGTATCTGGTTTTTTGCTTATTTTTTAAATTTTTCTAAAAATGACAAAAATAGGATTAAGAATCTTGATCAAGCTTAGGAATCTATTTCTAAACCAAAAATAAATTTTTTAGAATTTTCATGAATTTTTCCTTATTTTCTTTTGGCCAAAATGAGAGAGGAAATCAAGAAAAAATACCAAATGGAGTTAAAAAAATTTCATAAAAATATCCATTAGCTTTATTTTAATTCAAATTTTATCATTAATTTCAATTTTGGAAAATTTCAATTGGGGATATGTTTTTCCCAAAATTGGGTAAATTCACACCCAACTTGAACAAAAAATTTAACTGAGTCATTTTTAGTCATTTTTAGGCCATGGTGTTTTCACAACAAGTGATTCTGGGACCTTGAATTGCATATTGGTCGGTCCAATTTTACAATTTAAGAAAATAATTGAAAAGCCCCAAAAATCAATTGAAAATTAGGGATTTTGAGCCCAAATTGGGAATCTTGTACAATTCAAAATTGTTGAACCAGGACAACACCATTCCTAGAGTTAATCAGTCATGGGTAATTCAATTTTGGCATCAATTTTACCCAATAAAATCATCTGTATAGTGAATTGAACAAAAACCCTACTAACCTAGGTTCAAATTTGGGAATTATGGATTTAATTGTAATAAAAATTGGTACAAATCCCATATTTGGATACAAAATGTGCCAAGAAATTCAATTTTGGGGTTAAATTTGAAAATTGGGTCAAAATAGGGTCGATTTTGCAAAATTAGACCAACTCAGGTATGTCGGGTCGGTCGGATCGACCCGACCCGACCCGGGTCGGTCTCCTTCCTTACTCGACTCACCCTAGGTCTAGGAGAGGGAAAAAAATATCCCCCCGGCCTGCCTCTTCACCGCCTTACTTGAGCTAATCGGCCACGTATTAAACGAAGATAATAGCTGGGGAATCTCCAACTGGACTTGGTGGTATGTTATAGCAGATCTGGAGGTCGGTGGAAGGAAGATTGGGTGGGAAACCGAGCTAGAAGAAGAGAAAAAAATCGTTCTTAGTGCAGAAAAGCTGTTCGAGGAAATTCCAAAGAAAAGAGAGAGAGAGTTAGAGAGAGAAAGAGATTAGAATCAAAGAAGAGAGAGAGGAGTTGAGATCCCCGAATTGAGTGACCGGCGCCGATCGACTGAACCGCGCCAGCGAATCGATCGCTCAAGAAGGATCTCCTCCTCAGGCGGTCAGTACGAGGCTGGTTGAGTAGCCCTGAAAATCGATCCCAGCCAGTGAATCTAGGAGTTCCCCGGCGGAACCGAGACCATAAACTTGAAGATCAAGTGTCAGGGAACCGCTTCACGCCTGCAGATTAGCTTGGAAATTTCATTCTGCCCTCCATCAAAACAGGTAAAATTTGATCTTCATCATGGTTTTCCAAAATCCCAAAAAATGAGTTTGAGCTTGATATTGTTAATCATGCGATTTCTTTGGTGATTATGAGTTCCTTGATGTCTAAAACAAGTTTATGATCACATTTGCATTGTTTGATTGCATTTTGGGACGTTAAATGTGCATAAACTGAGTCGGCCATCCATGAGAACCTTCGCCGAAGCTCCCTTGACCTCGCCGGAGTGCTTCCCGTGGCCATAGGCCACTCAAGTTAGTAGATCCTAACCTTGTTTCATGTTTTAATGTTTGTTTTGATCGGTTTAGACGGTTAGGGCGATCTGTATGATGATTTGAGAGCTTGAGCAGCTTGTTTTGGATAAGTTTGCAAGTTAGGGTTTTTGAATCGGTTTTTTGCTGACTAGCGGTGATCTGACGGTGAGATGATTAGTCTAGGATGATAGTTGGTGATGTGATGTTGACACAAAACCTAAAAGAATGAAAAAAAACTCACCGGAAGGTCTTCGGCGACAAGCTCAAACCGGCGGCCTTGATAACCTAAAACGAAGAAACACACTCACCAGATGTTCGATCAAATGCCACAATGAGAAAAGCAAGAAACGGCGTCGTTTCGGCGCCATGCTCGTTGAGGCGATGGCCGGCGCCGGCGCCGGCAAGTCCGACTCGGTCGGACCGGTCTGAATCGGCTCAACCCGGTTCATTCCCTTGGCGGGAAAGTTTAAAAAATAATAATAAAAAAATCTAAAACACTAAAAATCAGAAAAATCACAAAAAATAAAAAAATCCGAAAATCAAATAAATTTTTTTCCGAAAACCTAAAAAAAATTCAGAATTCGAAAATATTAAAAAATTCAGAAAAAATTTATAAAAATCAGAAAATTTCCAAAATTTCATAAAAAATTTGAAAAATTCTCAGAAAATCCAAAAAAAATGAGAAAAATTCATAAAATCCATAAAAATTTGAAAAATCCCAAAATCCCATAAAAATTTCTGAAATTTCAGAAAATAAAAATCAAAAATCAATTTTCGGGAAAGGAAATTCTCATAAAGCTTTTTAAAAAAAAAATAAAAAAATAAAAAATTTCAAAAATTCACAAAATAACTCAGTAACCCTGTGGCCACCCTTTTCAAGTGAAATTTGATTTTGTTTTTTGAAGTGTCTAAATGGCATTTTTTAGGACCCTTAGGTTTAGGGGTTAAACGGGTTCTTAACCCCTAAAAAACCCAAAAAACAGCACTATTCATGGAATAAACAAGCCATTAGGGCTTCATTAGGCATTGAATGTTTTGAATTGTTTTCCTTTTAGATACAATTTAGGAATTTTTTTGATTGATTGAAATTGATTGTGCAATTAATGATTGATTGATTGTTTCTTTGATTAGAACGTCTAGAATTAATTGGTAGACCTTAGAAACTCGAGTGACATGTTA